GTGTGAAATCATCTAGTTAAAAGAGGAGATATCAAAATCTCCTAGTTTAAATTAATGCCACGTTAATACGAATGTTTCAAACCCGAGTATTTACAAAGAAAGAGGATACAATAGTGAATTCCTTGAGCAAACTAAATAACACAAATTCTTGGTTGGTCCATCATAACTGTATCATGTTCAGACACCAAGGTGAAGTTGAGACAACATAATACTACATTGATTAGCCTAACATTAAACATACTAGCGACGATTTTGTCTTTCATGTTAAACAAGTTACAAGATGAAACAATATGCAATACTCACAACTTATGCTATGCATAATGTCCTTAATTAAGAGCTGAAAACACTAATCTGGACCAAACAAATAGTAAAAATCTAAACTAAATAAAGTGATTCTGGAAAAATAGATGAAGGTTAAGTACAATATACATGTTTCCTTCGATATAAACCTAGGTTTAAGGTAAGTTTCACATTACTTCTGCCCTCATCTCAATGATGAATTTCAATAAATTAAAATCAAATATAATTTCGGAAAAATGGGAAAAATACCTAGATGTTTTTGGGGTTTTGAGTTTACACCTTTGAGATTTTTTTTATATGGTTTCATAGCTAACCAGATGCATTCGTGCTTAACTTTACCGACCACCCTTTGCTTGGGAGTTCTTCGCTGCTATGAGGAGCTTATTGTTCTCCCAGTTATGAGTTCAATTGTTTCCTCTGGATTCTGGAACTCAAACACCAAAGGATGCGGTTGGGAGGATTTTTCCGGGAGCCTCACCGGCTGATTTACTTCTCTTCATCACTTCTGTGTACCTATTTTCCCTAACAGTATAGTCCCAAAAAAAGAAATTATTAATAATGTAATTATATAAGGATTACTATGTAATTTCCTAAACTTGGTTTCTTAGTATAAATACATCTCAAGACACCCAATAGGGGAAGCCATTATTCCCAAATATTATTATTTTGTATATGGTATCAGTTGCCTAGGTTCCTTCTACGTTTCCTTCATGGTCGATCAAATAAACCCTACGACGGCCACCGTTCCAGTGGCGCCCGCCACGGCGGCGCAGCCCATATCCAGCGCCCCCTGCAACACTAAACGGCGCACAAGCTTCCTTCGGTTCCAGCATGGATCAGTTATCCCTTCCGCAGGTCACCATGCCAATTGGACCGTTTTCAACTGCCGCGCAGATCAACTCTCCGCCATCGGCATCGTTGTCCCAGCGCTTCCGTGGAGTTCACCCGCAAAATAATTACCGTCTCTTTGGCATGCCCGAGCCATTTACATGGGCGTCCTCTGCACCCACGATGACGTCGCTCACACTGCCCCTGCCGCCGGTTTTTCATGACGTTGGCAGCTCTTCCCGAATGTCGGAGTTCTCTGGCCCGACTTTTACTGGCCAACCCGGCGTGGCTTCCTTTCAGCAGACACCAGGACCGTTTTTGCCAGGTTTCAATAATTCACAGACTCCTTTATCCTCATTGGCTTCACAATTAGCCTTTTCTACCCCGAATGTTAATAATATTGTGACCACACGCCTGTCTGAGGTTGAAGATTATTTACCCTGGAGAACTCAATTTGAGTCTTTTTTAGTCTCTCACAGTTTATTGGGAATTTTGGATGGGTCTATTCCGCCACCATCACCCACCACCATTGATTTATCCCGACAGGAAATTCCCAATGCTGACTACCATCATTGGCTTAAAATAGATCAAACTGTCAGGTCATGGCTTTTTGCTACTCTTGCTAAAGATGTCCTTATGGAAGTCTATGATTTACAGTTTTCACATCTTATTTGGGATCGACTTCAAAAGCGCTTCATGTCTGCATGTATTTCTCGTTCTGTTGAATTGAAGCGTTTGCTCTCTCATATTAAAAAAAAGGACTCTCAGACTATGGATCAATATTTGCTTGAAATCAAACTTATAGCAGATAAATTAGCAGCCATAAAATCTCCTGTCAGTGCACGTGATTTAATTGAGTATGCTATCATTGGTTTGGGACGTGGTTATGAGTCCCTCATCAATAACATTGACTACATGCCTGGCATTCCCTCTCTGGAAGATATACGACCAATTTTACAGGCTCAGGAGCAGCGCAATCTATTCTTCCAGGCTCAAGAACAGCCCTCGGCACCCCAGGCGTTTGTAGCAGCTCCGGCTCCTGCAGCTCGGGGTGGTGCTCCACGTGGAGGGGGTGGTCCGAAGGGTCCAGGAGGTGGTCGCGGACAGCGTGGGGGTCGCGGTCGTGGAGGACGAGGCCGCGGTGGCAGAGGATACTACCAGCAGCAGTACGACGTAGCTCCCTCCCCGTATGGTGTTTTTCCGGGGCAACCAGCTCCAGTTCAGCCGCGGGGGACTGCTTTTCCTGGGGCTCCAGGTTTGGCATTGTGTAATATTAGTTCTGGTATTACTTATACTGATTATTTTCCTACGACTGCTACTCACAATGTTTATGCAGGTTTTCCATCTGTGGACCAATCTTTTCAGTCTCCTCCTCCCCCCGTTGTTTGTCAGTTATGTTTTTCTCCAGGTCACTCTGCTCTACACTGCTCCCGTTTTACCGCACCTCACACCCCGGCTCTTTCTGCCCTACCCACTGGTGAAAACAATGATTCAGTCTGGTATCCCGACTCCGGGGCTAGTGCTCATATGACTCCACATGAAGGTATTCTCTCTTTTAAAACCCCTTACACTGGCTCTAATCAAGTTTGTGTTGCTAATGGTACTAAATTACCTATTTCTCATATTGGTAGTTTAAAGCTTTCTACTCATGGCCGCCCATTAACACTCAATTCTGTCTATCATGTCCCACATATTAAATATAATTTATTATCTATTCAAAATTTGTGTGCGGACGATTCCTGTCAAGTGATTTTTGATAAAAACTCTTTTTCTGTTGCTATTTCTTTGGGGTGGTGTGTCAGACAACTTGATGTGAAAATGCTTTCTTACATGGTTATTTAACTGAAGAAGTTTATATGCGTCAACCACAAGGATTTATTCATCCCTCTTTCCCTAATCATGTATGTCGGTTACGCAAAGCACTCTATGGTCTGAAACAGGCACCTAGAGCCTGGTTTCATCGATTCAGTGGTTTTTTGTTAAGTCGGGGTTTTATGCAAAGTAAGTCTGATTCCTCTATGTTTGTGTATCGTTCACACTCCCAGGTTGTTTACATTCTGTTATATGTGGATGATATTTTAATCACTGGCTCTTCCTCCTCTTTTGTTATGTCGATCATTCATACATTATCTCTTCAGTTTGCAATGAAAGATTTGGGTGACATCCATTATTTCTTGGGAATTCAAGCTCAGCGCACTCCCAAAGGATTATTTTGTCTCAGTCAAAATATATTTCTGATCTGTTGCATCGATTTCATCTTCACACTGTGAAGCCGGTTCGCACCCCTCTCCCATCTCGTACCACTCTTTCTCTCACAGATGGAGAACTCTTGTCTGATGCTACTGAGTATCGTAGTATGGTAGGTGCTCTTCAGTATTTAATTATCACTAGACCTGATATTACATATGCTGTTCATCTGGTTTCCCAGTTTATGCATGCTCCCCGTACTACTCACTTATTAGCTGTCAAGAGAATTTACAGGTATTTACAGGGGACCTCTACACATGGTCTCTGGCTTCGGTCAGACAAAAACATTTCTGTTATTATGGCATATTCTGATGCAGACTGGGCAGGATGTCCAGATAGTTCTCGCTCCACCACGGGTTATGCTGTCTTTCTTGGTTCGAATCTTGTGTCTTGGAGGTCCAAGAAGCAGCCCACTGTATCAAAATCTTCCACTGAAGCTGAATACAGGGCAGTTGCATATACCGTTCAGGATACACTTTTCATCAGATCTCTTTTAGCTGAAATTAGGGGTGGGAAAAACCGAACCGAAACCCGGAAACCGACCCTGGACCGACCCGAATTATGATCTTGGTCCGGGTTTTTTCTTTTTAACCGGCCCGAATTAAAAAAACCCGGACCGAACCGAAAATTCCGGGCTCATTAACGGGCCTTAAAATCTATTACCCGGCCCGGACCGAAAAAACCCGAAACAATTAGTTTTAATATAAAATTAATATAGTATATGAATATAAATAAAATATTTCCTAATATATGATTATAATCACGGTGGATAAAAAAAAGATTTAGTAACTTTTAGCGACTACTAATATGTTGAATTTGTTTAGCGTAATGATGACCATGAGAATATATTTATAGCAACTCTAGTAACTTTTTGGTTTATAAAATTTATTTCGTAATATTTTTAAGAAACCTATATTATTTATATATATACATCTTACATAAAATATTGAGATAATTATCTTCTTTAAATTTGAATTGTTGGTGATTTTGGAGACTACTATTTGTGTTATTAATTTGTAGTTTGTATTTTTGATTAATTTTATTTGAAAATACGTGTTAAAATATAAAAGAACAATGACATATTTCACGCCCGGGCTTTAACCGGTCCAACCCGAACCCGGACCGAACCCGGGCTACCAAAAACCCGACTCGGACCGAATATAACGGGCTTTGTTCCGGTCCCTAATTTTCATAACCCGAGACTTTCCGGGTAATTTCCGGGTTTAGCAAAAACCCGACCCAAACCGGACCGATCTCACCCCTAGCTGAAATGGGCATCTATATTTCGGCTCCAGTTACTCTTCATTGTGATAATGTTTCTGCATCCTACCTGGCCGTTAATCCCATCCACCATGATCGTAGCAAGCACATTAAAATTGATTATCATTTTGTTCGCGAACGTGTGGCTCATGGCGATTTGGTCGTCAAGCATATTCCTACGCAGTTGCAGTTGGCTGACATTTTTACCAAAAATTTATCTAGTCAGCGTTTTGAATTTTTATGTTCCAATCTGCGCGTTGTTTCTCCTGCACAGATTGAGAGGGTGTAATAATGTAATTATATAAGGATTACTATGTAATTTCCTAAACTTGGTTTCTTAGTATAAATACATCCCAAGGCACCAAATAGGGTAAGCCATTATTCCCAAATATTATTATTTTGTATAATTATGAGGGTAGTTGTTGCGAAACAGAGGGTTGCGTAAGTCAGAGAGGTGAGAAAAAGAACAAATGGTAAAGCGTGCAGCTCGCTCGTCAACATGGGAGGAAAAATTGAAGGTTGAAAGGCTCGCGAGTTTGTCAGCAAACGGGATTTCTTGCACATTGTAAGAGTAGCCCGGAGGGCTGGCGTGGACTCATGACAGCAGAACACTACATAGGCAATGTGCGGTGGTGAAGAAGAGGCGTATGCTGGAGCTCCAAGCGATGAAGGAAGCAGGCTGAGCTTAACGGTAAATATAGGATTGCCCATTCGTTTATATTAGATTTATCCATTCATCAAATTTCTTACCCATATAATGTGTGGTTCTCTTCTGTTCATCTTATTCTTATTGTATATTGTTTATTCTTATTTTAGTTAGAATAGATCAGATCAGAAACATTCAGACCAGATAAAAAAGATTTAGATCAAATCAGAAAGATTCAAATCAGATAAGAAAGATCCATATCATATTAGAATAAAGCAGTGTTTGCAAACACTAGGAAAAAGTACTTTTGAACTTTTTTTGTGAAAAAAGCCAAAGAGAGTGTTTGCAAACCCACAATTCAGATTAATTTAAGTACTTTTAAGCTAGAAGTTCAAAGTTGGGTGGAGGGTGCTTTTAATAGCTTTTGGTATTTTTGTAAATAATTTAAACTTTAGGGATAGTTATTAGATTGAATATTTTGATTAAACCGAAACTACCCTCCCCTTATTCCTGCCTCTCCCGGCCCCGTCATCTTCTTCGTTCCACTATTTCAGCCATTGCTCTTCGTCGGAAACCTTCCCTTTTAGTTACCGTTCTTCTATCACTCCACAATTCCCCATCCCATCTTCCTCTGCTGCTAGCCTTTCCGCTTTCACCATCCCATCTCGCTGCTACTCCACTTTCTTTGGATATATTAATTTGATGTGAGCAGACAGGTCACACTTACAACTTGATCATTCATCAGCCCAATAACACACTCCATCCTAGGGGTGGGTTCAGTTCTTTCGGTTCAGTTTTTACCTAAAACCAAATACGGAACCAAAGTTAAAGTTCGGTTCGGTTTCGGTTCGGTTTTACACTCCAAAACTCGGAACCACGGTTTGATTGGTTCGATTTGCTTCGGTTCGGTTTCGGTTCTTTCGGTTTTTTACCAAAAATTTGTCATTTGATTTAAAATTGATATAATAGTTGGAGGGATCAAACATATTACATAAAAAACACAAGCATACTAGAATAAATGAAGTAAAAATAAGAATAAAAAAACATGTCTTGAATTATATGAGTATGCAGGAGAGATATAAGTATATATATTCTTAATTTACATTGTTTGTGACTAGATTGAAAAAAGTTCATGATTACATATATCATATGTGATATAGCTGAGATGAATATTTATTTGATTTATCAATGTAAAAAATGTAAGTTACATAAAAAATATAATTTAATTACTACTAATAACCTCTAAAAACAATAATCATGCAACAAATTGCAACATACATACATACATAAAAGACATAATCGATCAATATAGCTACATTATTATGGGCAAATGAATGAGTAAATGCATTTATAAACTAAACTAAACATAAACATTATTTTTATAGCACAAAAAATCAAAGACTATTGATGATATTAGGATTAATGATCAAAAATTAACAAATAAAATTTCATATTTTAATTAGTTCGGTTTGTTCGGTTCGGTTCGGTTTTGAAGGGTAAAAACCAAAACCGAACCAAACAACTACGGTTCGGTTCGGTTTTTTACATTCGGTTTCGGTTTTTAGCGGTTCGGTTTTATTTGGTCGCGGCTCAGTTTAATTTGATTCGGTTTTCGGTTTTCGGTTTTCTGGACCCAGCCCTACTCCATCCCTTCCATTTTACAAACCTCCTGGAGGATCCACCCCTTCCTCAATTAATTTGATTGGGTATGTATGCTTCTGTGTCGCCGACTTGAGCACAGGGGATGCGCCCCAATTTCATTTAATTTATGTAGGGGCAATTTTGTACTTTAATAACAAAATATTCCATAAAAATAACTTTTTTATCAAACACTTCAACTTCTACCTTTTAATTAATAAAATCACTTCTATTTACAAACACTATCTACTTCTACTTTAAATCACTTTTCCAATAATCTCTTAAATAAATCACTTTTAAAAAGCACAAGCAAACACAAACACTCCCTAATTTAGATCAAAACACAAACATTCAAATCAGATCAGAAAATTTCAAAATTGATTTATTACTTGGGAAAATCGCATATATGGTCCCCCAGTTATCCACGAAATTAAAATCTTAGACCTGTATTTCTGAGATTATAAATGTCACCCCTCAATTGTCCGAAATGTTGTAAATGTGGTCCTTTAAGTAGTGAAATGTACTCTCGCCCACATTCTATATTTCACCCCTCAAAAGGACCACATTTACAACATTTTGGACAATTGAGGGGTGACATTTACAATCTTAGCAATACAGGTGTGAGATTTTAATTTCGTGGATAACTAAGGGACCATATATGCGATTTTCCCTTATTACTTTTATTATTATTAATGGAATAAAGAAAAATGGCTTGAGAATATGATGGCATAAAGCAAAATGGCTCACTAAACAGTCTGCGCTTCTTTGTTATGAAGCAGCAGTCAGTCCATGCAATTTTGGACGCGATTTTCACTATGGGTCATTCGGAAACAATCTATCTGTGCTTTAGTACAGGGGTAAGACTGCGTACATCCGACCCCCCCTTACCCCACCGTAGGTGGGAGCCTTTGCGGCACTGGGGTAAATGAAATGAAAATGATTATTATTAATATTGTTGTTGTTGACATGAATATCAATATTTATATTAATATCAATGTTGTTGTTATTGTTATTATTTATTAATATTGGTATATTATTATTGTTATTATTAGCATTAATATTGGTATGTTACTATTATTATATAAATGGTCTTGGAATTAGCCGCATGACGGTTTATGATCAGGCGGACTGATCATTTCTCTCTGTTAGTTATCTATGATACTTATATACGCACAAATGAAATGTACTGTCACACAATTTCATTTCTTTTTCTTTTTCTTATAAGAACGAAATAAATCCAATAGAAGAGCAACATCTACTCACCTGACCAAGGGAGTGTGAGGCTACCGCTCACACGACTAACTTTTCTTCGCCTAGACTAGGAAGAGCAATATTTGCTCTCATCACGCCACTATAGCTGCTATGGACCTGAGCCCCAGCTTGAAAAAACAGTTCCACAACTGCGGGCAGCTTTCCGTACTCCGTAGTACCTCTTCAAAGCATCAACTAGAGGAAGAGGGGAAGATGGATCTAGAACATGCCACACGTAGACTGGAGGAACAAGGTCATCTATGGTTGCCTCTTGCCAAGCATGTTGCCCGTCTCTCATTTGATGCTTGAAGGCTTGACACTGCCTCACCCTATGACCCTTCGGTCCCACTTGAACTTCAGGACAATACCCGCATGTTTGAACAGAGTACTTCTGCATTAGCTGTATGGCTCCCATTCGTGTGTCCTCCCACACTTCCATTCCTCTCTCTGCACAGAAAATTTGAATTATTAGCTTAAAACTGGCTTATGTGTTAAAACTCACTTCAGACTAACCATTGTCTGCAGACTTCAAGGGCCATTTGGTAGGGCACGTATTCGGCTTATCCGCCAAATTATTTACCAAAGGTTAAAAGCTTGTTTGGTTAGACTTAAAATGGATGTTACGGAATTTACCGAAACTACTGATGTTATTATTGTTGAAAGGGAAAAGGGGCAAATAAGCCCTCGAACTAATCAAAAAAGTGCAAATAAGCCCTTTTGTAGGAGGTTCCGTCCGGCCATCGTCATTTGGGGAGGTTCCTGGTGGAATTTTTTGATGAATTTTTTTGAGCATGTTATTCATTAAGTCTAGTTTAGTCGTACCGAATTTCAGCTAAAAATTCAATCGGGAAGACAGTCAAATGAATTTTTGAAGATAAATGCGCAGTTAAACAACGCAGTATATTTCCGAAAATCATTTGAGTGCCTTCCCGGTTAAATTTTTAACTGAAATTTGGTATGGCTAAACTAGACTTAATGAAGAAGATGCTCAAAAAAATTTATCAAAAAATTCCACCGAGAACCTCCCTAAATGACGATGATCGGACAGAACCGCCTACAAAAGGGCTTATTTGCACTTTTTTTATTAGTTCGAGGGCTTATTTGCCCCTTTTCCCTTGTTGAAATGACTGATTTGGTTGAACCTGCTGATTTATTAAAAAAATTAAAATATATAGTTAAATGAACTAAAGAAAATAATTTCTTAAGTAAAGCTAGAAGTACCCATGACTCTGATATCATGGATCGATTCATGTTAGCCGACCCCCAAATTGTTTGGAAATAAGGCTTGGATGTTGTTGTTGTTGTAAAGCTAGAAGTACCTATTTGACAAATTTAGGCTCTGTTTGCAACCACTTGTGCTTAAATAAAAGTACTTTTTGGGAAAAAGTGATTAGTAGTAAAAGTTGGTAGTGTTTGGTAAAATAAGTGCTTTTTGTGTAATAGAAAAAGTAAAAAGTATATTCTACACGAAAACCGAGAAAGTAAAAGTTGATATTGTTTGGTAAAATAAGTGCTTTTTTCTTTAAAAAAAAGCCAAAAACACTTAAAATAATAGTTTGCAAACAAGCCCTTTGCAATTTCACCCACAAAATAACTTATGCACTAATTTATCTCATTGGTATGACGACTGCTGATAATAAGAATCTCCAGCCAAAAACAAAAGCCTGTCAAATGTATTCTAACTTATTTTGCACTGAAATCAATGAAAACGACAATTTGACCTCCAATTTACGATGCTATTTTGTTTAACTTATTAAAAGATAAAGATATAGGTTGAATAAGTATAAAAAATATATCAGCATATTCACTCAATTTAATTATACTTTAGCAACTGATAGGGACCCACCTAGTAGACTAATAATAGAAGTCATATTAATAATATTAGTAATAAGGGTCTGAGTATTTTAGTATAAATAGAGGGGAAGTGGGAGTAGTAAGTAGGTTTTTAGACATTTTGGTCTTTGGGACTGGGAAGGATACGAGACTGAACATCTCGATCTTTTGGGGCTTCGGCTTTGGGGGCTTCGGCCTTGTTCATTGTTTCTTTTCTGTAATCGATATCTTCTTGAATAAAATTCTTCATCTGAATTCTTGTACTCTTCTCGTAACTGTCCTGGAATCTGGAGGTCTCTAACATTGGTATCAGAGAACGTCGATTCACAGTTGTCTTGACGCGCGCAAAAAGATGGAAGCACGATGGGATAACTTGAAGAGGAATCATCAACGAACTATGGAGATATTGACAACAATGATAGCCAGGTTGGATGCGAGAAATCAAGATCGATCGAGGACCAAGTCGCAGAAGGAATCGCAGAAGGAGTCGCGAAAGTCGCAGAATGAGCCGCGAACTGTTTCGCACTTGAGAAAGGATTCGCGCGGAAATTTGGGGAAACTCGCAGAAAAGATGGAGCGCGGAAAACTGGAGAAGGAGAAGCGTATGCAGAACAAAGAAGTGGTAGAAAGTGATAAGGCGAGGAAAAGGAGAACCGGATCGGACGAGTTGTGTACCAAGAGGCGAACACAAAGTCGGCCAGGAAGATCGAGGAAGATACGCCGTTGCATAAATTCGAAAAGTAAAGGGTCGTTGCAAACGCCAATTTCTTCTGGTCTTCTTGCTTCTACGCGAGCAGAAAACTCCAGTTTGAAATTTCCATCTGAACCCACAGATTCGCATCAGGAGTTGATTAATCAGCCGCAACCAACCATGGCAGATAGGCACACTTCTGGCGACAAGGAACACAAGGATAAATTGTCACTTGACCTTGGACCTGCAGCGGGAGCAATTACTTGTTTCCTCAGTCATAACAAAATCCCCAGGTATGAACTCCTTAATTCAGAATTGGAAACCAAGATGATGTGGTCATTTGAACGAGGCTCTCAAATTGATGAATACCTGCAAGTCAAGATAAACCAATCTGGGAAGTCAATCTCTATATCTCGAGGTATATACCTGCTAAGGAGGGACACAGATAACCCTTCCATTAAGTGGACAATGGAGGCTCAACCCAGATTTCATGTGGATGCCAGCAAATTAGAAAAATTGATTCCCTTTGATGAAGCTGATGTGATTGTAGGGTTGAATAAGATTGATGGTTTCAGATTAGATGATGTTGATCAACGCAAGAAGTTTATATTGGAGCAGTCCCATGATCTTACAAAGAGTGTAAATAGATTTCCTATTGTGCAGACTGGTCTAATTAACGAAGTAATAAGTCTTGTTGAGGCACCTGTGACAATATATGGAAAAATTGAAGACACTTTCCTAAAGCTTCCTAAACAATTACTGATAAGGGTCAGGCAGAAGCATAAGGAAATGACGGTGATAGAAGGAAGTGAAGCTGGACTCAGAATGGGGATCCACAGAATTATGACTGATGCAACTGGTGTTGAAAGAGTTGAATTTGTATTCTCATGCACTAAATGTTGTTTGGTTCCAGTGTTGCATCACAATGGCCAAGACATCAGGACTACAGATGACAGAAAAATTGATACCTCTGAACAGTCAATATGCTCTTCAAATGGTGTTTCATTTAGTCAAGAATGCTTTCTTTCTAAACACACGATTACCAAGCTTCTAGTTTGGAATTCCTCAGATTTTGGACTGAAATGGACAGAGAAGTTGGCTCTTGGTAGCATTATAGAGGGAAAAGTTTCTATGACTACCCTACTAAGAGGCTCACCCAAAAGTTTGACTAAGGATGATGATGATTGTATGTCCTACTGCCCATTAGGCAAAGAGTATCTGGCAAAATTTCATTATGACAGATTGTTATCCATATTCGAAATAGCAGTTGGTTCTGCACCATTCATGTCATTGTGGGCACCCATCAGTTCCAGGTCACAGGATTCTTATTGGAAAGCTTCAGTTATTAACTCTGAAAGTGTTGTTCCTTCTGTTCTTCTTATCACTCCCAGCAAACACATGATAAATGCTAAAATTTCAAGGAGTGAAGCAACTGAAACTCAAGGGTTTGAGTTATATCCTGTAGCAAGAGCTATTAGCAAATGGAAAAATGAGCAAGGGATGATGGGTGAAGATCAGTACCAACATGAACAAAGACACAGGACTAATATTGGTGCTTGGAAGATAGAGGAGCTAATGCTGTTTTTGCAAGAAGCAGTAAGAAGAAAGATTCATGTCATGAATTTCAGGATCTTGAAATTTGAAAGATATTGGGAAGGAAGAGGCGCAAGGAAGAAGAAGGAGAAGAAGGAGAAGATTTTGGTTGTCTCCTACCGCCCACCTTGAGGGCAAGGTGGATGTTTAGGGGGGAGTATTGATAGGGACCCACCTAGTAGACTAATAATAGAAGTCATATTAATAATATTAGTAATAAGGGTCTGAGTATTTTAGTATAAATAGAGGGGAAGTGGGAGTAGTAAGTAGGTTTTTAGACATTTTGGTCTTTGGGACTGGGAAGGATACGAGACTGAACATCTCGATCTTTTGGGGCTTCGGCTTTGGGGGCTTCGGCCTTGTTCATTGTTTCTTTTCTGTAATCGATATCTTCTTGAATAAAATTCTTCATCTGAATTCTTGTACTCTTCTCGTAACTGTCCTGGAATCTGGAGGTCTCTAACAGCAACCTGTCTCCGATAAACACCAGTAGATTGCCGAAGAAATCATATAATCACTTGGAGCGAGGGGGGAGCAATCTGAGGATATTAAAAAAATTGAAAAAATAGTATTTGAAGAATACAATACCTGTGATATCATCGGGAGGCAAACCCAAAGTTTTCTCATTTGATGTTATTAATCTCTTAGTGGTTCCCCAAAAACCAGATGCCTGGATGTGGTTTTGAGAGAGAGCATTATCCTTGGAGAACCTCTTCTCAAAATCTATCATTTTCCCGGCCACTTGGTAAACTGGGAACTTCCGTCTTCTGGTTGGGTAGTCAGGCACGTCTACCCCAGCCTGAATGCACAACTCCATAATGGCAGGAATACGGTCCACCTCCAGCCTCTCATTATGTGAAACGGCTCTCCCCAACCGATCATACATATGGAAAGATTCTACAAGAGGCAATAAGTGTTTGACGTCCCCTCTCTCCCAAATATGTTCCTTGCTCTTTTCACTGCCGCTAACAGAACATGTTTTAATCTTATGTGGTGTATGACCAACATGAACTTCCCCACACAACCTACAGACAATAAAGTTCCAGGAATCATCACATATATGCTTCAGAAGGATCAATAGTGACTCTATTCTGTTAATCCATATATTCCTAAAGAAGTATCGTTTCGGAGAAGAATAACAAAACATTCTAAACCGTCATTTAGAAAAATCTGATGCAGCATTAAGCATGTTTTTTTTCAAATTTACCCTGCTGATTAGAAAGAGATAAATAAGTACACATTTAATTTCAATATCTAATTTGTATCTGTTTTACGTTAAGCCTCCGTTAAGCGACCGTCAAATTATCTTTTTCATTTCTCAGCTGTGTTGTTTCGATCGTTCTCTCTATCGAGTGCAAAGGAAGCTTGTCTGCAAGACCCACCCGTCGAGAAGGTACGGAGACTCAGCGATGCATCCCCGGTGGGTACTATCCTCTCCTTGTGGATGAGGGCGAAGTGTCAGGCCAATCCTAATTAGAGGAGTGACTTTCGGGTGGGTGAAGAGCAGAGCCCCTGTCCAAAGCATAACTAGAGGAGTGACTTTCGAAAGAGAAGGACAAACACAACGAAATATGTGTAAAAAGTTTCGAATTCGGGATCTTCTGCTGCCCTAATTTCTTGAGAAACACATGAATAATCGATTGGATATGCTATTTCGGATGATGTAGAAAGTGAAGATGTTGGGATCCTTGGCTTACTCGAGGATTATGCCATTATGGGGACTACAAATTCAGGTATATACTCCTTTCCCTGTGAATTGGTGATCAAAATTGGATACTTCTTTTGAATACCATTTGTTTTGCTCAAAATAAGGTCATTGTTATAACCTGCTACTCAACACAGACGAGGAGAATAAGTCCTTAATTGTTTAATTTGTTATCTATTATTAGGAACTTATATAGTTTTTTTGAGATATTCAAATTGAGAGTCTTGATTCTTTTTCATGTCTTTGTGCTCAAACGGAGGACAACCTTATATTCAATAAGCTCTTTGCTAAGTTTCCTTCAGTTCTTGTTCCTTTATTAAATCATGATCACGTTTGGATTCATATCTGTATTCATGTTTAGAAAGTGTGTATGCGTATTTATCGGAATGGAATTTTTGAAACATCAGATGATGTTATTAAAATTTATCTAAAAAATAGTGACATTCTTTTGAGTCTTAACTCAATATTAATTCAGGAAAGTATTTTCTGATGTGTTTATCTTCTATGACAGGGAGTGTGGATGTCAGTCATGAGTTGTATTGAAGCATTTCAGTCTATGTGGTCTCGTGTTAATTTCTCTAAATTTAGAAACGGTGCTCTTCTTTGGCTCTTTCTTTGTGATTCATCATTGTATTTGCGTGGATTCATTTTCTTGGAGATCTGTTGAGTCTGTTTTTTTGAAAGCTTCCTATATACAAATCATGGCCTTGATTAATGCATTTTTCATTTTCTTTGTTTTGCTTGGACGAGAGCTTCTTATTACTGTTGTCTCACAGGAAGAGTATAAAGCAAAGGTATGAGATAGTCCTATTAATTTATTTATTTTAACATTTCTTTTGGAAAAAGGGTGACTTGCTATCATCTTAGATTTTAATATTTTCTGCAAAACCAAATATCTTTACCAAAGGTATGCATATATGTATTGTTCAAAGGCTGAGAGATGCAAAGAGCTTCACAATTTTTTCAACCCCTCAAAGTCTTGAAAAAAAGGAACATCTGGTATTAGGGTTCCAACTAATTTTTTTAAAAACTTTTAAAGAACTCATAGACTTCACAAAGACTAAGTGTGGGGTATTTGAGTATAATCAGAGTATAATCATGTGACTGAGTAAATAATCCCACTTACCGTTTTGTGGATTTAATACTCAAAGTCTTCAAAATATTTACTAGTTGACAGTTATGATTCTATGCATGTTTATTAAAAACACCAACTTTTTGTGTGTTTGAAATATTAAACATCCTATGACTTTCTATCGGAGCAGCATTACACTAACCATAAATTTATGGTGTGAGATCTCTGCATTATGTTTCTCATAATGAAGGTAAAACGACATTTCATTCTTTAAAATATTTATACTTTTATGTGTTTAAGTTGGAATAATTAGATTTTAGAAAAGAATCAAAAGATTTTATGTGTTGGGATCAAGTATGGATTTTGAGAAACAACCTAAAATTTACTAATCCTATTTCTATCTCTATGAATGAGTTCCGAATTTGACATTTGGTCAAGTGTCTGTTTGAAAACATCTCCATCTCGTGCAGGCTTTTCGCACAATTTTTAAGCTTTTTGTTTTTCCCTTTCTAAGTACAAAAATATACATTGACTCATGCATTAGACTCTGCTGCTTCTACCCGAAAGAAAGAGCTTCACATTTTTTTCAACCCCTCAATGTCTTGAAAAAAGGAATAACTGGCATTAGGATTCCAGCCAACTTTAAAAAAAAAATTAAAAGAACTCAAAGACATCACAAAGATCAAGTCTGGGATCTTTGAGTATAATCAAGTGTCTGGGGTCTTTGAGTATAATCAAGTGACTGAGTAAAAACCTCAGTTACTGTTTTTGGATTTAATACCCCAAAGTTTTTTGGATCTAATCACGTCTATCATAATATGTCTTTCCAAGGCTGGGAGATGCAACAACAGCTGGCATGTATAAGCTCCTTTTCAGCACACTGCATGACAAAGTCACAGTCTGTTCTAGGACTTTCTGCCTACCCAAAGGTTAATCTCTTGAACTTGGTTAATAGATATGCTAAAGTACTGTGTTTTTCTTGTTTCACGAGCATTTAGAAATGTAAACTGTTTTTAATGGCAATGAATCTTGGAGTTGAATATTATACTATATGTATGATAATGGAAGGAAAAAACATCAATTTGCTGGTTTTATGTCCAGAAAGTACCTTAAACAAAACATTCTTGCATGACATTGGATGAATAAATGTCCCAAAACTGGGTACTTAATGCATGCATTTTAAAGAAAAGTTCACTATGACCAAACACAGGTGATGATGCAAATAAACGGACACTGAATCTGCTGTCTATGCAGCTGAAGTTTCAGACAACAATGATCTTCTCCCTCCTCTAAAACCTGATATTGGGTAAGGTCTTGGATAAGCTCAGTGACGCCATCCACTCCATCTCTCGTCATGGTTCCAAAACTCGTCCAAATCGGCCGGCTAGGAACACAGGTACTTTAAAAAAACAATAGCTTTTGATAATTTTATTGTGAGTCTTTACTGTCCAGACCCTCACCCCTAATCTACTCTTTCTTCTCTTCCGTGGAACGGCCATAGATGACGACAAATGAGAAACAAGTCCTCTTTTCTTCCAGAGTGTTTTACAGAATGTTCTAAATGGCTACTAATTTATTTTAGGACATTGAATAGTTTACTTGATTTTGGAATTCACAGTGTTCTTAATGGCTATTAATTTATTTTCTTATAGGTGAGGCGAGATGGAGTTTTCTCTGATACACGTTTGAACAAACAGCTGATGGTCATTTCAAGACCAGCAGCTTCTCAATAGATAGCAGTACAGCAATGGCGACTTTTGCTGTGAAAGGAGGATGTCCCAGTGACTACATAGCCATCTCCGTCGCTATCGCCTCCTTAATCTTGTAATTCCCTGCTTCAATTATTTACACAGGTATGCTTCATAAAATTTTAGGATGTAGCATGATAGATGCCACTTCATATAGGGTCTGTCTAAGGAAGGAAGATTTGTAGTCTTTTTGTCCAGCAAAAATACTTCTCTGGCAGAAGATAGTTTTTGTTAGAAATTTAAAGTGTGACTATGTCTGAAACTTTGAAGCATAAATACACATTCTGTGCATGACTTTTTCATAACACAAACCCACTTTTCTTAATAACCGTGCCACACTCTTCCGGGACAATATAAATGGGACGAAGGGAGTAACAATCATATAGATCACGTGACCGGATACCAACCTCCTATAGCAAGTTGGTGGTACGGATTCTAGTTTTTTTTCCTCTTTCGGTTTTGTTCTTCTCTGAAGCACAGTAGCACACTCCACGTCCCACACATCTGGTTGTTATTTTTCTTTTTTGCGTTTTTAGACTGTTATTTTACTCTGTATTTTATTTCTCTGTTTTTTCCTTCTTTGTCGCACCACTATTCCCCTAATGTGTTGTCTTTACTTTTTTTCCATCCTAGCCATCCAGCGATTTGTATCTTCTCAACTTTTGCTCTTCCATTTTGGACGTTTAGGTGCCAAAATGGAGATGATTATTGTAGAAACTTTTTTGACTGAGTTAGTGTAGATGATTATTTTAACTATTTTTACACATATTTCATTTATTTTATTAATAAAGTATATTTTAAAAATAATTTTTCTTGAATCAGCCAATGAAGCCACTTCAGCCAGAACTTGAGAAATTTTAGCAAAATCAGCCAAATCAGTCAATTTTCGTGCTACCAATCGGGCTCTTTATCACTATTATGTTCCTATTTCCCTATTCTTTCTTTATTTTTATTTTTATTTTAGCATTTTCTTCTACTTTTTCTATTTATTTTATTTTTCTCTTTTCTATTTATTTTATTTTTCTCGTTTCTTCTTCCTTCCTTCTTAGAATACGTTAATTAAATTTCTTTTCAGTCTCAAACTGGATTTACTATTAACCATCTTTCTCTGACGTTTTTAGCGGCGTGACCCTGATAACAAAATTCAAACACATGAACGAACCACTTTGATAACCCTATCTGACCCTATGTGAGCGATGCCGCCGACTCGGTTGCGGCCGGCAGGCGCAGGCGGCAGTCGATGAGGCGAGTGGGGGACTGGCTGACTACGTGTTCTGGATCTGGCTCTGCAACTTGCGGACTTCCAGAAGAAGAAGACTGGTTTCTCCTGATTTTGGGACTTTATTATGTATTTGCGTAAGGCCAGATTCTTCTAGGTTCATCTACTGGAAGGTCCAAAATCAACCAAACGTGTAGTATAATTCAGATCTGAGGAAGCCGAGTCGACATTTCTGGAACAACTCTTCAACTTCCAGTCTTATGTGATCCAAGAACGGCAGAAGTGTGGAACCCGCCGCCAAGTCGTTGACTCCCTTCAGCACGCAGCACGGCATCACCGCCATTCCACCGGGCGCCAGCACCGCAGCATCCCTCGTCAGGCATCGCCTTCTCGCCTCAATGTTTACCCTTCCGTAGTTCCGGTATTCTTACAGTCGTTCTTTCGTCATAGACATATAATTAAATTAATGATATTGTTGCTTGTTGAAACCTGATAAAATCCTGATAGGTAAGTAGGTAAGTTACTACTTTCACAATGTTTTTTTTTAAATAATTATCATAACTCATAAGATCTACAAAGTTAGCTTTTGATTCATTCACATGCATCACGAGCAGAGCAGGATGCACGACACAGAGAAGAGCAGAACAAGCCACAAGTTTTCTGAGCTCTTCTGGGCCTTTGGCTAATGAATAAATTTGAGCTTTGAACTGCCAACAAGGATGTTTCCGGCTACGACTAGGGGTATACGCAATAGCACCACACGTTGGTGACTCCCCACAAACTTTTCAGTGAAGGAGAAAAAAAATAGTTCAAGTATTGGAATCCCAATCTCTCAAATTTCACATATACTCATGAGATTTGATAACAGGGTTCGGCAGTGTATTTTGCTTGTGAAATCCTATCAAATCCTAATCCAGAAAACAATCCAAAGTTTTGTTCAAGTGTTAAATACACCAGGACTCTCCAAATTTCCTAATTGAATACCTCAAGACTTTTAAAATATTTTATAGAAAAGTGTCAAATAAGACATTCTACTATTATGAAATCGTCACATAAGATCATATACTCAATAAAGTGTTATATAAATACATCTACTTATAAAAAACAATCGGCCGTGTCCTAATGATCCATTGACAACCTCTTAATCACGACTTTAGCTCACATGTCGTTATTTTTATCTTGTATTTAAGTCAATCATGACTAAATATTCCACGTTAATCATATAATCTATTTTAAAAAGATAGCCAGACATACACTAAAATTGGAATTACAAGCTTGTCAAAAAGTCATTTTGACTCATTCGATTGTTTTTTATAAATAGACATATTTACATGACACTTTATTTAGTGCAAGATATGATTTCATAATAGTAGAAGGTCTTAATTGACCCTTTTCTCAATATTTCAAAATGCTTCAATTAAATACACCCAAAAATCCTAAAATGTCTTTAAAATTCCAAAAGAATAGACAGCCCTAATACTCCAATATACGTAGTATATAGTTTGGGCTTTTTTGGTCCGAGCTATGAAGTAATGAGCTTCACTTCCATATAGGGGATTTCTATATACATCCCCCAAATTACTAAACACAACCACTCAATCAAATAGAATTAAATAATAACCATTGTATATCTAAATTACCCTTACTACTAGTTAACGATCGTTTAAACTAGACACGTAGGAAAACTCATGTTCGTCACTACCACAGATCGGAAAAGACGCAGAAAAACCCCTAGGAAGGTGCAGGGTGCCCAATGTGCAAACTGGGAAGCTCAAGCATGAAGAACTGAAGGCAACAACAGAAAGAAATCCAGCAATTTATACCCTTCTTCCGTTACACGTGAGACCAATTCAATAGGTTTTCAACATCTTCATTTAGATTATTGCATAGAAATCGGAGAACAATCGCGCAATGATGTGCAATGCCAAAACTGTGCTATCTTAAGAACACTTCTGGTAGATCGTTCTGCATGAAACATTGAAAAGAAACAAATATATATTGAATTACGCACCAAGTTGTGTTGTAATTGCTAAGAGAAACATATATATATATATATATATATATATATATATATATATATATATATATATATATATATATATTGAATAAAACATAAAATTGTGGTAATAGGGGGAAACCGCCAAAACTAATACTCCCTCCGTCCCGCTATGATTGTCCCATTTTACTATTTCGGTCCGTCCCACTAAGATTGTCCCATACCTTATTTGGTAAAGTTTGTGTGGTTCTAAATCATTCCTACTTTATTTTTACTTTATCAATTCAATATCAACCACATAAATCCACCTTTATTAATAAATGTGCCACCTTCTCTTGTCACAAACATAGGGGGACGGAGGTAGTATGATATAGATATGCATATTATAGTGTATTTATAATTTGTATTATGTTTAATTAGGCTACACTTGAGACCATGCGGTTTGACTCATTTAGGAACACATTAAAATATGAAAACTCAGGCCATCCCATTAAAATATGAACATACATGTATAATGAATAAGGAAAACAGAAAGTAGTGTGTTGATTTATGAGTCACTTTTCAAAGCACATATCAAGTAGCATATTTTAGGCCAAGAGAAAAACTACAATATCATTTCAAACAACCCATTTTTTCTTTATTTAACTCATTATATTCGAGTATTAAAGAAATACCACTATTAAAATTATTTGTAGCTTAATTCAAGCCCAAATTTGTTAATTGTATAATCAAATATTATTATAATTTTTTACATCTTGTTCATCGGGTTAATGCAAAAATAGAATATATCCATATATTAAACTTACAACCATGTTGTGGTAATGGATTTTATAGGTTTTATCGTGTTCCTACATGAACTCTTCTCTAAATATAAAAATGGAGAATGGGGAGCAAATGGTTTGCCATGAACAAGGAAAGGATAGTGATACACAAGAAATCGATGAATCAGAGGTAAACTATTTAATTTTGAAATTCATGTTAATTTGATAATCGTTCTAACTAGGTTCTGTTGCGTGGTATATAGAAGTTAAATTGTGAAGATCAGCCAGATTCACTCAATTCCTATGGAGCATTTTACACAGATAAAGTAATTAAAAATGCAATAGTTTGTAACCAAGTGAGAAATATCGGCGTAAGCAACAGTTTGAGGTTGTGATCATAAACCTATCCTACTTTTCTGATGAGTCTTCGCACTCTGAAGCATTCAAGTTGGCATTGAAAGAGAACGGTATATCGTCTTGGTGCCTTGGTGGGAGCTGTCCGACCATGTTAGCCGAAGGCTTTACGAAATTGTTAATGTTCATATGAAGATGATGTAATCATTTGGGCCGGTGGTGGGCGTTCTGGTGAGCTAAGTGGACGGGCTCTTATGGAGTGGAGGGGCTCAAGGAACTTATATCCTGTATTCCTGTCACTAGAAAGGTAACCTATCCTGTCACACCACCTCCACCACCACTCCCACTAGCCCCACCATCACCACCACTCTCACTCCCACTAGCACCACCCTCACCGGCACCACCACTCCCACTCCCACTCTCACTAGTGGTACCACACCTGCCCCGAATGAAAAAAAACCAAAATTTCCCCCTTTGAAGGAAAGTCCTCTACGCCTTCTCCTTTTATCCTCTTGTGGTTTTCACTACAAATTTCACGAGTTATAAAATCAAATTTTATGAAAATCTCTTTTAAAACTAGTTCCCCGTCACTCTTCTTCCTCTTATTAGCCTTTCGCCTCATTCTCTCTCCTTCTTCCTTTTTCTCATGCCTTTTATCATTTCTTCCACATGATCCTCCTTTTTTTTCCCTCTTTCTCTTCTCCCCCCACCCCTAAAATGGGATTCACAGTAGCCCCGAGCACTTTTTTAAAATATTTGCTTAAAATAATATGGACAGAGGAAGCTTGAATACCCACAAAGTTAGGAAATTTTTAGAAGCAGTAGGATTGTGGTTTTTGCATTTTCTTTGGAGGTATTTTAGTATACCCTCCCCACCCACTTTATGAAACAGGTCTAAAGCTGTCTAAAAAAATGTTATGGGCTGATAGTGGGTGAAAATTATATGGTTTCGAAAATTCCTAGAAAGTATATCTGACATTTGTTTCTTCTCGATCTTTCTATGAGGCAAGTATTTAAAAAGTTCATTACGTAGATCTGCAGGTAAGGCGGATACTTTGAACTGTGGAATATGATGTTTATCCAAACTGCTAGCTCCACAAGGTTGATACACAGTGTGTATCTTACTCAAATGTGGGTCATCCAACCATTGCTCAGAGGAAACTGCTTTTACAACATATAAACTACTGGGAAATCTAATGGCAAGAGAATAAATACGTTTATGAGGGTTGGTAGGAAGTGACGCAGGAATATAACCTTGAATAGAAGCATCTCATTTCTTTCTTTTTTTCTTTCTTTCTATCGTTCTCTTAGCCCTTTTATTAGCTTCCTTTGTCTCCCGGTTATCCCCTTTTCTCTTTGTCATTTTGGAAAGCAAGTTAATACAGTGATCAAGAACGACGAGTCGACGAGAATGGAGTCGGGGAGTTGGCGATTTTGGGCGTAGGTTGATCGCTGTAGTTAGGCGCATGATTTTGGTTTGGATTGTAACACTATTGTTTTTGGGCCATTCAAAAATCCGGCCTTGTATAGTTGGACTGGGCAGCCTTGCCCTTGGCCGACCCTGAGTATTAGAGAATACACAAAGAAGAGCAGCCGTTAGAACATAGACCTGCACAAAATTGGGTCGGCCTGCCTAGCCCGCCCGCACAAAGGGCCGGTGTGTAAATATATATGCTCAAGCCCGCCCCTTTGTGCGGGCGGGCTAGGCAGACTGACCCAATTTTGTGCAGGTTTATGTTCTAAGGATTGCTCTTCTTCGTCTATTCTCTAATACTCAGGGCCGGCCAAGAGCAAGGCTGCCGAGTCCAACTATACACGGCCAGATTTTTGAATGGCCCAAAAAAAAATTAGTGTTACAATCCAACCCAAAATCATGCGCCTAACTACAGCGATCAACCTGCGCTCAAAATCGCCAACTCCCCGATTCCATTCTCGTCGTTCTCGATCACTGTATTAACGTATTTCGCAAAATGACAAAGAGAAAAAGGGATAACCGAGAGACGAAAGAAGCTAATAAAAGGGCTAAGAGAGAAAGAAAGAAAGAAATGAGAATACAATGGAAGTTGAAGATGCTTCTATTTAAGGTTTTATTCCTGCGCCACTTCCCACCAACCCTCATAAACGTATTTATTCTCTTGCCATTAGATTTCCCAGTAGTTTATATGTTGTAGAAGCAGTTTTCTTTGAACAATAGTTGGATGACCCACATTTGAGTAAGATACACACGGTGTATCAACCTTGTGGAGCTAGCAGTTTGGATAAACATCATATTCCACAGGTCAAAGTATCCGCCTTACCTGCAGATCTCCGTAGTGAACTTTTTAAATATTTGCCTCATAGAAAGATCGAGAAGAAACAAATGTCAGATATACTTTCTAGGAATTTTCGAAACCATATAATTTTCACCCACTATCAGCCCATAACATTTTTTAAAACAGCTTTAGACCTGTTTCATAAAGTGGGTAGGGAGGGTATACTAAAATACCTCCAAAGAAAATGCAAAAACCACAATCCTACTGCTTCTAAAAAAATTCCTGATTTTGTGGGTATTCAAGCTTCCTCTGTCCATCTTATTTTAAGAAAGTGTTCGGGGCTACTGTGAATCCCATTTTAAGGGTGGGGATAAGAGAAAAGAAAAAAAAGAGGGAGGATCATGTGGAAGAAACGATAAAAGACATAACAAAAAGGAAGAAGGGGAAGAGAATGAAACGAAAGACTAATAAGAGGAAGAAGAGTGACGGGAAACTAGTTTTAAAAGAGATTTTAATAAAATTTGATTTTATAACTCGCGAAATTTGTAGTGAAAACCACAAGTGGATAAAAGGAGAAGGCGTAGAAGACTTTCCTTCAAAGAGGGAATTTTTTTTCATTCGGGCAGGTGTGGTACCACTAGTGGGAGTGGTGGTGCCGGTGAGGGTGGGGTGAGAGTGGTGGGGCTAGTGGGAGTGGTGTGAGCAGGAATAGAAGCGGTGAGGGCGGTAGAGGGGTGAGGGTGACAGAGGTTGGAGAGGCAGTTGGCCTAGAAGGGGTTATGGTCATGGTAGGGGGCGAAGGTCGCAGAGGCTAGATGGGCAGTATGGAGCTCCTTTTAGGGAGGAGGATTGGGCTGATGATGAATTTGTGAAAATCACTACTAAGTTTGACATTGTGCCTGTTGATCACAATGTGGACGAAGTTCCTCCTGCAGATAGCTGTAGAAACGCGCAGGTAGATCCCTCATTGGTTGATGTTGAGGAGCTTTTGAACAACACAGTTGATGATCAGGCACCATTACCAGTAAATCTTGATGGCTTTGAACTGGCACTACCTCAGGTGTGAACTTGTTTCTTGTGCGATTTTACATTCAGTTTCGTAAATCTTGATGGCTTTTGTGCTAATTTTGCAGAGGCTGCTAGTTTGTTACATTAATGCCACCTATTTTGAATAAGCAGAAAGATGTGGATTTTAATTTTCTCAAGTTATTACTTCTGTTTTTAAATATATACGAATCTTTAGCTTCATAATGACCAACTTTTTTTGTGTTATTTTAATTTCAGTTTCTTGGAGAAGAGACACGTAGCACTGTTGTTAATGGATCCATTGAGGATCTGGTATATTCTGAGCCTTTAATGATGTATTATCCAGGCTCTCAACAAGACAAGTTGGATTCAAGCTTTATTGCTAAGCAGTCGTGGGGTGCAACTGAGGCAGCTTCTACTGTACGGTCTGAATTCACTCGGTATCCAGAGCTCTTAAATCTTCAGTTTACCGATGAAGATATTCTTGAGATGGATGATCTTGGCACAGGGCCTGTGCAGTTTCCCCCAGCAAGTGACAGGATCTCAGGGAATGCCCAGCTGAGAGAGCATGATGGGTTTGATATGTTTAATGACTCTGACCTCTTCCTTGGTGATTTTACATCTAATAATCAAATAGTAAATCCATCTCAGCATCAAAGGCTGCTGGAAAATGGTTTTGTTGGCCAATCCCCAAATTCTGTACATACTTCTGGGAATGAGATGTGGAACTTCGGAGCAAAAAATTGTTTTCACAACTCCACAGAGAGATACAAAGGAACTATGCCTTTACCAGTGACAGGTACATACTTGCAGTTTCAATGCTGATTCTTCTGCAGTTCTGCCTGCCCATGTGTGGAGCTTTATATTTTTCTGAGCGGCATTATTTCATCATATATATCGGTGAGTTGGATAGTTCCGATCTGCTGAATACAGATGAACTGATTTCCAAACTGGATATTGTATTTTTGTTTCTGTATTTGTGCATGTAAGTTTTTTTCACCATTCTAAATGTATTAATCCAGAAAATGTAGGGGGGGGGGTAATGGACTAATGGGTATGTTGTGTTTGACTTGGAGAAGGCAGCTTGTCTTTGGAAGGCTTTCCAACTCATTGAATTTGATGTTTTTGCTAACATTAGATTTTCTGGGATTTCTATAAATATGCTGGTGTTTCTACAAATATCGCTTCCAACCATACCAGAATCAGAAGAGCAAACAGAATGAAGGGTCTCAAACATGGTTGGCTTTCACATTATGATCGTTTGTGGAAGCAGTACCTGCAGCCCCTCCATCAGCCGCTGAGAGCGTGATGGTTAATCCGAGGATGTCTAGTTTCAGTAGGGTAAGAAAATATTTTAAAAAGAATTGTTTTTTTCAGCAGGTGAGTTTTAAAGTCGTGCACCTGTTTATTGACATGAATTGTCTATGTTTTTCTAGTGTTAATAGAGTTTTAGTACTCGTATTTAGCTTCTCTTCATTTGCACGTGTTGTTTTCAATAGTGGGTTATTAGCTCGGTTTAATTTAAAGTTTTCTTCGTTGGTGAGAAGTTCCAGGCAAAGAAGTTATTAGAACAGTAATTGCCTTTTCTAGACTTCTTTTTAAATGACGTGGCAACCATTTGTCTTTTCTTTCTCTTCTTCAGCCGTTCTCTTTTCTTTCTAGAAAAGACAATTACTGTTCTAATAACTTCTTTGCCTGGAACTTCTCACCAACGAAGAAAACTTTAACTTAAACCGAGCTAATAAGCCACTATTGAAAACAACACGTGCAAATGAAGAGAAGCTAAATACGAGTACTAAAACTCTATTAACACTAGAAAAACATAGACAATTCATGTCAATAAACAGGTGCAGGGCTTTAAAACTCACCTGCTGAAAAAAACAATTCTTTTTAAAATCAATTCTTATCCTACTGAAACTAGACATCCTCGGTTTAACCATCACGCTCTCAGCGGCTGATGGAGGGGCTGCAGGTACTGCTTCCACAAACGATCATAATGTGAAAGCCAACCATGTTTGAGACCCTTCATTCTGTTTGCTCTTCTGATCCTGGTATGGTTGGAAGCGATATTTTTAGAAACACCAGCATATTTGTAGAAATCCCAGAAAATCTAATGTTAGCAAAAACATCAAATTCAATGAGTTGGAAAGTCTTCTAATGACAAGGTGCCTTCTCCAAGTCAAACACAACATACCCATTAGTCCGTTACCCCCCCCCCCCCCCCCCCTACATTTTCTGGATTAATACATTTAGAATGGTGAAAAAAACTTACATGCACAAATACAGAAAACAAAAAATACAGTATCCAGTTTGGAGATTAGTTCATCTGTATTCAGCAGATCGGAACTATCCAACTCACTGATATATATGATGAAATAATGCCGCTCAGAAAAATATAAAGCTCCACACATGGGCAGGCAGAACTGCAGAAGAATCAGCATTGAAACTGCAAGTATGTACCTGTCACTGGTAAAGGCATAGTTCCTTTGTATCCCTCTGTGGAGTTGTGAAAACAATTTTTTGCTCCGAAGTTCCACATCTCATTCCCAGAAGTAGGGACAGAATTTGGGGATTGGCCAACAAAACCATTTTCCAGCTGCCTTTGATGCTGAGATGGATTTATTATTTGATTATTAGATGTAAAATCACCAAGGAAGAGGTCAGAGTCATTAAACATATCAAACCCATCATGCTCTCTCAGCATATTCCTGGGAGTTAGGCACGCCGTGCCTGAAGAGAAATATTCCTGGGAGCTAATGGAGGCCAGGCATGGTCGTGCCTGGCAGTTAGGCACGCCGTGCCTGGACGCGAAATTCGGGCTTCTTCCGTAGGCACGGTCGTGCCTGGCCGCGATTGGTCCTAATTCGTTGTTTTCTATAAATAAGGCCTCCATACCCACTTTTGAGAGTTACGAACTTTGGAGAGAGGCCTAGGGACGAGTTTTACCTGCGTTTTTACGTTGTTTAATCCAAGAACCTAGGATTCTTTGTAAGTTCAATTCTTTAATTAATGTCAATTATTTCTATTCATCCCAATTCTTTTGATTTGTCAATTATGAGGCGTGAGTAGTTTAATTAGGGATTTGGGGTTAATCATGATTGATGGCTAGATTCTGGTCGGTTTAATTGCATGAATGCCGTTTAATTTGTGTTTGAATAATTTAACTGATATCTCTTGTAACCTAGATGGCCACTAGAATTACAATTGCTTATAGAATAAATTAAGAGAGATCTAATTTGTTCTAGGACACATTCACACACACTTAATCGTTCGCTAAGAGATTAGTAGCGATTAAGGGGCCGTAAGCTCGCTCGTTTTGGCAATAATTTAGGATCTTGTCGCATGAGAGATCAGCCTGGACCCCTAAATTATTGTACTCTACGCCGCGCGCGCTAAGAACTTAGTAATGATTAGCTAGGCTCAATTGAATGAAATTCATGTGATTAGGCCTGTTCTGCCAGAAATCTGGTTAACCCCGGAATCAATTCTTGTTCCCTTCTTCGTTAATTAAGGAAAACCAAATCTTTTTACCTGCTTCTTAGCATTAGTTTTATTTTAATCAATCAACCAATCTCGCACAACATCCTTTAAATGAATAATCATTTTATAGGAGTATTTTTAGGGGAAAACACGCCTCCTCAAATTGACTCTCAAAACTCCGTTTTATGTCACTATGTCGACCTAATATTACACTCCATATCCTTGCTTAACGATTAACACTTCTCTGTACTCAGTCATATACACCCAGCTCATCAATAATCAATTTACAACTCAAAATAATGAACTTGAGAACTTCCCAGAATAACTCAAATGACTACCTAGCATTACGGGTGGACTCGGGCCGGGCGGCCTGACCCGGAACCGGCCCGGCCCGGCCCGGGGCCTGGTGGTCCCATCGGTTCGGTTCGGTTTGGCCCGGCCCGGGTGATGGGCAGTCAGGGCTCGGGCCCTGCTTTAGGTGAACCGGCCCGGCCGGTTCGGGCCCGGTCCGGGCCGGATTTTTTTTTTTTTTTTTGAATTTTTTTAAGTTTTGGGTTGGATTAGGTATTTTGAGCCATTTGAGGTGGTTTGGGGTGGTTTGGGGTTGAGGGGGAGGAGTAGGGGGTTAAATAGGAGAACCAAAAAAAATGGACCGGTTTGGCCCGGCCTGGCCCGGTTTGACCCGGAACCGGAACCGGAATCGGCCACCGGCGGTTCGGGCTCGGGCCCTAGTTTTCTGGCCCGAGGCCCGGCCGGGCCCAGGCCCGAACCGGCCCGAGTCCACCCCTACCTAGCATCTTTGCACTTCCTCAAATCTATCAAGAGTAGTAATAAAATCAAGGGGGGATTTGTAATAAAATAATCAATTTGACTTTTTGGGTGATATTTGACTTTGCACCCCATTTTCAAATTTTTTTGACATTGCACCTATGGGTGGACTCGGGCCGGTTCGGGCCCGGTTCGGGCCGGGGCCCGGCCGGGCCTCGGGCCAGAAAACTAGGGCCCGGGCCCGAACCGCCGGTGGGCGGTTCCGGTTCCGGTTCCGGGCCAAACCGGGCCGGGCCGGGCCGGGCCAACCGGTCAATTTTTTTTTTTTTTTGGTTCTCCTTTTTAACCCCCTACCCCTCCCGCTCAACCCCAAACCACCCCAAACCACCTCAAATGGCCCAAAATACCTAATCCAACCCAAAACTTAAAAAAATTTCAAAAAAAAAAAAAAAATTAAAATCCGGCCCGGACCGGGCCCGAACCGGCCGGGCCGGTTCACCAAAATCAGGGCCCGAGCCCGGAACGCCATCCCACCGGGCCGGGTGGCCCGAACCGGTGCACCAACCAGTTGACCGGGCCGGTCCGGGCCCGCACAGTAGCGGGCCGGTCCGGTTCCGGGCCGGTTGGCCTGGCCCGAGTCCACCCCTAATTGCACCCCTAACACATGCCATTTTGTAAAGAAACATTTCTAAATGGGGGCAAAGTCAAAAGAATTTTAAATGAAATAGGTGCAAAATCAAAGTTTTTCGAAATGGGGTGCAAAATCCAATATCACCCAAAAAATGTGGTGCAAAGTCAAATTCTAGTTCAGGTTTTAGTGTACAATTATGGTGGTTTTAATTGGGTTGGTTTTAATTCCAAATCAGATCAGACCAAATCAAACTTTGACAATTGTAAACCACACATAAAATAGACATCTACCTAAACAGACCAAATCATCTTATACCAAATAAGACTAGACTTAAACATGTTAGATTAGATATTCTGACCACACCAATTTTTTTAGTCATATTAAAAACATTCTTAGTATCAGGTTGGATTCAATCTACATCTTTACTCCACACCAAAATGACGTTAGAAAGATCGAAGAATTTCCCAATCAAATGTAAGTTATGTAACATCATTGTGATTACCGTTCATCTCTCACACTGAAACAAGTTTATTTTTTTATTGAGAACATCCTAATGAAAAACATAGTTGATCATTACGTGCAAGATTGATCACTTAGCTTATTATGATAGTATCCGTCAACAGTCCCAACACTAACTGAAAGTCTGAAACAAGTTTATTTTGTATGAGCCACTTTAGTAATTTTTTTTAAAATTCTAATAAATTGTTTTTAACTTCATTGCTTGCTTTATAACGAAAATCGATTACTTTTTTCTTTCGGGTGCATTGATTTTATTTTAATTTATTAGTCATTACTAATTAAATTTTAAAAATGTACTTTTGGTATTATTATTATTGTTATTATTTTATTATTATCATATTCCAATAAAATAGTTATACAAATAGTAGAGCAAATTAGTTGGTAAATTTGGTTATTCATGCATGAGCTAGCTATTAGGCTATTATTATATGTCGTATTTGTAGTAATTTTGCAGGGTAAAAAGTAGCAATGAGTTGATTTTCTTTTTTGTGAGGGGGGAGGAGAATGGTACAATACAACAATAAAATTCATGTATAAAAGTCTTTCAAAATGATTAATTTCATTTTACAGCTGTTTTTTTTTATCGTATTTCATTTTACAGCTTATGAGTCATACTTCACATATCCACATTTTCATTAACTAGATTTTTCACCAGTGCTTCAATTGGCACGTAGGGCTGGACTTGGGCCGGTCGGACCGAACCGGAACCGGCCCGGACCGGTACTGTTTGTACCCGGCCCGGCCCGGAAACTGGTTTGGCTGTCGGTTCGGGCCTACCCGACCCAGTAGGCAGGCGGTCCGGGCTCGGGTCCTGCAAATGATGAATCGGCCCGGCCGTTGGGAATAATCCCAAACGGCTCTATGCCTCTATAGCCGTTGGAGGGCTAGGAGGGGGGGTCCAGGGGGTTTGGGGGATACCGAAAAATCCTATTCATATTCCTATTTTCTATACATTATATTTTTGACACCATATTTATACAATCATACTCTCTAATTCTCTATTCTCTCATACTCAATAACTCAATCATCTCCATCTTCATCTTCTCCAAATCTCTCTCTCTCTCTCTCTCTCTCTCTCTCTCTCTCTCTCTCTCTCTCTCTATATATATATATATATATATATATATATATATATATATATATAATTATTATTATTATATTTACTTATATATTAATTATCTACTTATATACGTATATTATATTACTAATATTTATTATCTACTTGATATATACTTATTATCTTTTTATTATTTACTTTGATATCTACTTATTATCTATATTTATTATTATTTACTTTTATATATATATATATATATATATATATATATATACATATTAAAGTATTAGATATAAGTGTATTACTCATCTTATAGTAATATACTTATATATTATATACTATAAACATTATATTATAGTGTTGAGGTTTATTCCTTCAACCTTTGGGTCCAACACGTAAGTCCAAAGATTTCGAGTGGAGTGGTGTATGTGTGTGAATAAACTAGTCCAACAAGCAAATAAGATGGATCAAGAGACAATAAATAGCAAGTAAGAGATTATGTATTATTAATCAGTTAATAACTCCCCAATACAATACGCTTGCTAAGGCTCGTCGGCCGTACGTCTTACAAGGCAGTAGAAGAGCTGCGAGTAAGAGCTAAATATTAGCTAGAGTGCTCAGGCTGATTAGTTGTCAACCCTTTATAATGAAATAAATACTATTATTTATACCACCAATGGGCAGTTGGCTATGCTGATGTGGAGGGCTGTGGGTGGTTGATATCCCAACCACCAAATCTACAGAATTAAATGCGCTTTCCGCCAGAATCTGGATTTCCCGCCTAACTTGTGGAGACGGACATCCAGTTGGATCTGGGGCCTGCTCCTAGTGATGCTGCGAAGGGTTGCGGGCCGCTCGTATTTGGGCCCTTGGTAGAATTCGTTACGTTGCTCCTAATGGATCCTTGTTGGTGCGGACCACGGGTGGCGACGTTCGTCGCCCAGTACTTCATCTCATGGGCTAAGTGCTCATTGGATCAAGCACTTTCATCAGTTTCATGGGCCGGACGTCGTCCGAAATAAGAGTAATGGGCCTACATTCTATTTGGGCCATTTACCCAACAGTTATACAATTATATTACTTACACTTGAATTCATAGTAATTAAATTCATCATATTAGTTAATTTTTACATTTCTCATTATCCTAATTTAGTTAATTAATACTTGTCTCATTTTTTCTATTACATTTTTTTAATTGTTACATTTATCATTAAGAGCCCGTTTGGAGAACTCTGTTTTCGGCTTATCAGGCTTATCAGCCAACTTTTTCACCAAACACGTAACTTTTACTTTCGCGCGCTGAATTGTGTCATAAGCCGAAAAAGTAAGGTTGGAGTTACTTTTCTGGCTGTATTGGCTGAAGTTACTGTAGAGGACCATTTTAACTATTTTTACATATAATTTTTTCTTTAATTTATTAATAAAATATATTTTTAAAATATTTTTTTCTTAAATCAGCAGAATCAGCCAAAACAGCCACTCCAGCCAGAATATCATAAATTTCAGCAGAATCAGCCAAAACAGTCGATTTTGGTGCTACCAAACGGGCTCTAAAGTATAAAACTAGTTAATTGTTACATTTTTCATTAAAGTATAAAACTAGTTAATTGTTACATTTTTCATTTCCCTATTATTTAATTTGTTAATTGTTGCATTTATCATTAAAGTATAAAACTAGTTAATTGTTACATTTTTCATTAAAGTATAAAACTAGTTAATTGTTACATTTTTCATTTCCCTATTAGTTAATTTGTTAATTATTGCATTTATCATTAAAGTATAAAACTAGTTAATTGTTACATTTTTCATTAAAGTATAAAACTAGTTAATTGTTACATTTTTCATTTCCCTATTAGTTAATTTGTTAATTTTTTCATTTATCATTAAAGTATAAAACTAGTTAATTGTTACATTTTTCATTAAAGTATAAAACTAGTTAATTGTTACATTTTAATAAATTACTTGTTATTTTAATAAACACACTTGTTATTTTAATACACACTCTCAAAGTATTCAAATTTCGTTACTCCTATTTAAATAAATTAAATACACTTGTTATTTTATAAAGTACTTGGAAATTTGTTATAATTTTATTAGTCGCATTTTATTATTACTATTGTACTCATATTAAAATATTTGATATAATTTTATATTTGTTACATTTTAAAGATTGACCGTGGTATACATTCTGTAGATATGGGTAATCTCCAACGCAACCGAAAGAAGTAGATTGCGACAACTCATCCTAGTTTACGCAAAGGCAAAGGTAAAGGGCGGACCGGGTCTTCTTCTCAAAGTCGAGAAGATTTTCAAACGGAATACCAACGGCGAGATGGGGATGCGATGTCTGACAAACAACTACAACAACTATTGGCGCAAAATGATGGATGCTTTTTGCATCAACAAAACATCCCGGAGTCCATTGACGAAGAAGAGCTCGAGGATGAGGATGCGAAGGAGGACGAGGGGGGCGACGGCGGTCACGGCACCTCAGATGATGTGCAAGAGTTGGAGGACGAGGGTGGTTCATCCCAAATTGGTAAGAAATCTAAATCTTCTATTATAGAAAATAATTATACAAAGAGGAAAGACAAAAACACCGAGAAATGGTACGCAACTTGCAATCATTGCAAAAAGGAGTATAGCTTGGGAACTTCTAGTGGATACGGGAGCCTCTCAAGGCATCTTAAGTCCAAGCACCTAGTGGAGTATGAGAAAATAGTGAAAGGAAAGGGAAAGCAAACTCAAATATCGAGGTTTGCAAATAACCAACCTTATGGTAATTTCTCATACAATGATGCATAAAATTTGACTGGTATGACTAACTTACTCGTTGAAGAAAATTTGCCTTATTTGTTTTCTAAAAGTCTTGTTTTTAAAGATTATGCACAAACTTGTTTAAATCCTCAATTTAGAAGTTATAGTCGCAAAACGGTGAAGAAAGAAATTATAAGGCTTTATTGTGCGGAAAAGGCAAGGTTACAATATATGTTTGAAAACTTTGATGGGGGTGTTACTATTTGTTCTGACATATGGGAGGATACTTATCATAATTAACATTATTTGGGTATGACTGCACATTATATTGATGATGTTTGGAATATGCATAATCGTGTTCTTGCTTTTCGTGAATTTAATGATCGTCACACCGTTGAACATATTTATATTTTGATTGAGCGTATTTTAATTGAGTATAATTTGGTTAATAAGGTGTTTGCTATAGGTTTTGATAATGCTACTAATAATACTGCTGTTATACCAAGATTGCGTGAATTGTGTGGTTCTAATAATTTGATGGGTAGATTTTTTCATGAACGATGTGCATGCAATGTTATAAGTTCTATTATCAATCTTTTTTTGGTGAATTTCCAATGTATGACGATAACGCCATAGATTCGCAAGTTGAATACAACGAGGTTAGTACTTTATTTTATGCCTTATTTAATGAGTTTCATGCACAATATGGCAACGCACCCCCTCCCCCGACACAAACATCTTCCATTAAAGGAAAATACTTTTTAAATCTGCATTTGACAATCTTATGAAAAGAAGTAAAACAACTCACGCTACTGAACAAAACACAGTTAATGAGATTGCTTTGTATTTAAATTATGAGGTTGAGTTTGAAGAAAATGAGGACTTTGACGTTCTAAAGTGGTGGAAGTCAAAAGAAAGAATGTTCCCGATTTTTAGCACGGATGGCTAAGCAAGTGCTATCAATGCTGGTTTTAACAGTTGTCGTGGAACAAGAATTTAGTTCGGCCGGCAACGTTCTAACGGCATCTAGAACGAGTTTGAGCACATCGTCTCTTGAGACGCTTATATGTTACCACGATTGGTTAAAGGCCATACGTAGAACTTAAGAAATTAGCATCACCCCCTCCTAAGACTTTATGGATGAATCAACCGAGGGTGGCTCTACCTATGCCGGAGATTCCGATTGATTAATATTTTACAATTTATTATAAAATGTATTTCATGTTTTAATTTTCCCCTCAATTCTCTATTGTAATTTGTAAATTTGTAATTCATATTTCAAATAAATATATGCTCATTTTTTTTTTTAATATGTAGCACTTCTCAAATTAATTAATGAGTTTTGCTAGAGGTACACAAAATGTGTCACCACATTTTGTGTACCTCAAGCATTTTTCTTAATTAATTGGTTACAACTTAGATTTAATTATATTATTATTTATTAGAAAATGTATTTCATATTGTATTTTTGTTCTCAATTCTCAAATGTAATTCCTATTTCACATAAATGCACTTGAAGCTTGTTTTTAATATCCAAAAATTGTATAAATAAGTAGAAAAGGGAAAAAAATATCGGCCCGACCTGACCCGGAACCCGGGCGGGTGACCCAGCCCGAACCGGCACCAACCTTAGTACAGGCCGGGCTCGGGCCTGCTACCAAAGTTCCAAGGCCCGGCCTGGGCCCGACCCGAGTCTAGGCCTATTCACACGAGATGCAATTAATAAGTTATAAATTATTTTCAAATGTATATACACATATTGTGATAATGATAGAATAATGTATATATTATTAAAAAAAATTAAAGATACAAAATTACAAAGTATATTTTTTCCCTAATAAACAACATTTAAAGTCTTCTACAACAAAAAAACGTTTAAAGTCATCATCAAATGTCTTTTTTAAAAGACAATTACCGTAATTTATTCAAAAAGAGGAAACGGATAAAGACGATTACTTGTGGGGGCTAGACAGTCATCATAAAATGTAATAAACCTCTATAGTTGGAATAAATAAGCAACAACGGTAACTTAATGAGGTAAGGGTCAGATTGGTACTCGAAATTGCATGAAAAGTGTCAAATAAGTCCTTACTTTCAAGCCGTCGCCATTTGAGACGGTTCCCAGTGGAATTTTTTGATGAATTGTTTTGAGCATCTTATTCAATAAGTCTAGTTTACTCATACCAAATTTCAGCTAACACTTCCATCGGGAAAGCATTCAAATGAATTCTTGAAGATAACTGCGCTTTTAACTGCGCAGTTATCTTCAAGAATTCATTTGAATGCCTTCCTGGTTGAATTTTTAGCATAAATTTGATATAAGTAAACTAGACTTAATGAATAAGATGCTCAAAAAAGTTTTTCAAAAAATTGAAATCACCCCAAATGGCGACAGCTGGATAGAGCCTCCTATATAAGGACTTATTTGACCCTTTTTTATTTAACTTCAAGTACCAATGTAACCCTTATCTCGTAACTAGGGCTGGACTCGGTTCGGGCCGGGCCCGGTTCGGGCCTTGAACCGGCCGGGCCTCGGTTCACCAAAAGGAGGGCCCGGGCCCGAACCGGCGTTGACCGGTTCCGGGACAGACCGGGCCGGTTCACCCAACCTATTTTTTTTTTTTAATTTTTTGGCTTCTCTTATTTAACCCCCTACCCCTCCCCCTCAACCCCAAACCACCTCAAATTGTCCAAAATACCTAATCCAACCCAAAAATTAAAAAAATTTCAAAAAAAAATAAAAAAAAAATTAATTCCGGTCCGGACCGGGCCCGAACCGGCCGGGCCGGTTCACCAAATGGAGGGCCCGGGCCCGGAACCAGTATTCACCGGGCCGGTTCGACCCGAACCGCCGGTGGACCGGGCCACCGGGCCGGGCCGGTTGCTACAGTGGGCAGGCCGGGCCGGTTCCGGGTCGGGCCGCCCGGCCCGAGTCCAGCCCTACTCGTAACTTAATTCTCTACTTAATTGCGTTAAAACTAATTTTTCCCAATGTAATTTTGATTTTGTAAACAACACTTTCACTCCTTGTGAAACCAGTTTTCTTGCATCTAAACGACTAAAAGTCTAAAACTCTGTTGTGCCAAGTTTCAATTCTTCTATAGCGATATGGCTCCCAATTTAACTCACCTCCCACAACTTCCAAATCTTACACTACCCACCTCACTCACTTGGTGTCTTGGTGACCTTTTGTCCCATATATTTAAGCTTCCAATGGAATATAACCAATACATGTAACTATTGGACCAAAGTACAAAACTATACAATGTATTACATAGAGCCACAAGATTAATCAAAATAATTGGCTACTCCCCAAATTTATGAAAATCAAATGCATGACCTTTTTCTTATAGAGTTATAGACATCAACGGTATAAATTTATATAAAGGATACATTTCCATTTTCCAGTACTTTTTTAACACAATGTATCTATTCATCCATTTCAATGACAACTTTAGAGCTCAACCAAATTTACATGTACCAAACAGACCAATGAAGATGCCTAATTTGTTTCATGCATGAAATCTAAAGACAGACAAAAATGTGAAATCCTTTCCCACACCACTAACTATGCATTAACCATTTAAGCAAATGCAAAATGAAACAGTCATTTTTGACCTTTTACCTGCTTCCATTTGAAGTAAAAAATCTACAACCCTCCAAGGAAATAGCCTAAACTGGAGGGAAAATATAATCTAAATCAGCTTTTCATATGAGAAAATTGCTTCATTATTGCTAGTAACAAAACCCCAATGGGTACCCCCAATGGCATGAGACTGAACCAAATAAGCCGAGAATTTGTTGTCTCGCTCAGTGTCCGCATCTCTGCAAAACCATAAGAGAAGTTTTTGCCAGGGGAAAAGCTAGATGGTTAAATAAGGTTATAATTTCATAAGGAAAGATGGTAATGGGATTACATAACTGGATGATAAATTACCTGCTCTCTATAAATAATAGATTTTCATGTATGGCCTTTACTGCGCCTTCAAGCTTTCTCAGCTCAAGTTCAATACCCTATTGAATGCCAAAATATAAAGTGATGAACGAACAACACAATTATTGAGTGTTATTGCTTGTCTACTGGTTTTGAGTGTACGAGATTTCCTATTGGATCCAATTTAACATGAAAAGGGCTTGGTCCAAAGGAGTTTTGCGGAAAGCCCACACATTCAATGGTTTAGTAAAGCCCATATAGGCCTGTTTGAGCCCATTTGTCTACCCTCTACTCTAACATACAGGTTTAATGTTGAAAATGCTGAGAATGCAACAATCATATCATTCAAAGAACTATACTACCCTACCCTGACACATTTTAAAACGCTTCATTTCATATAGACAATGTCCCCTCACTTTATTCTTAAAATCAAATGCATAAATGTGGTGTGTATGCACACAAATTGTATGACATGTGCAAGATCTAAGATCAATGATCTGGCATTTGGAACCCTCATTCTTTTCATTTGACATTTGTACCAAGTACAATGTAAGAGAGTATGAGGCAATAAACAATGAAAGTCTTAACAAAAGGTCCTTCAAACTAAATAACTTTTTTTTGTATCTTTAATGAAGAATTCACAGAAAGCATTTGGTTACATAATCCATCCGACAGAATGCATGTAAACTAAATGTGCAAGGCACCTATTGTCAAGCCTTGATCCTCACAAGCCACGGGGGAAGCTGGGAGAGAACACTTTTACTTTAATTTTGTTTTCAAATTTATCATCATGGCCAAACCTCATCATTTCCAAATCAGTGGATTATTATCAATAAAGATTTAGAGTATGATTGTATTGCAAAATCTAAAATAAGAGGGGTACATAAATAAAATAGGAAGTTACTGTGGGCATAGTTTGCGTATCATAAACGCATAAGATAGTATGTAGTATAAAATATAGGGGAAAATAATTTAAATACCCCAAACTTTGATGGGGTGTGAGATAAGTATCGCAAACTTGCACATGTGATATATGTACCCCAAACTTTATATAATATAAAAAGTTATATTACCATCATTTATTTTTTCACAAATGTAATTTTATAGTGTTAAGTACATAATTTAAAATACACAAAACATTTATGAGGATGCAATTAAAATTAAACTGTATCGGATGTGATATTATTTATTTCACAAATGAAATTTTAGAATGTTAACTAGATTCTAACAAAGCTTAGAGTATTTTAAATTATTTAATTATTCCAATAAACTTGTATTTGTAAAAGAACATACAATCATGGTATGAAAATAACTTTTTATACGGGGGATTAAGTTTGGGGTATATATATTAAGTTCGGGGTATCAAGGTTGTTAAACTCGAGATCCTAGCACGGATCGGACGGGGTCTAGGAGATCGTAACTCGGTGATCGTAACTCGGATCGTAAGATCCTACAATGAAATATATACACACATAATATATATATATATATATATATTATGTGTGTATATATATATTCACATGTATATACAATTCAATTCTATGTAAAATTGTAAACTTTAAATTAATTAATAATAATGATAATAATAATAACATAATTTCAAGACTCAAGGCAGTAATATAAAACACTTAACATAGAAGGTCTGGTCGCTTGGTCTTCGTTCATCGTAAGTCGCTATATTTATTTATTTTTTCAAAAAACTCGCCGTTTCAAACTTTCCGAGTATATCGTAAGTCGCTAAAAACTCTCCGGTTTTTAAAAGGGGTAGTCGCAGATCGTTCAGATCGACGAGTCAAACGAGTTACGATCTTAAACGACTATCCGCCGATCCCAGGCCGATTTGCGATCTTGGATACGATCTAACTCGATCCCCCCTATACAGATCGTAGACTCGTACGATCTTACAAGTTGCCTTGCGATCCTAACAACCTTGCGGGGTATATATATTACATATGAAAGTTTGGGGTATTTATCTCACACCCCAATAAAGTTTGGGGTATTTATCTCAGATTAATTTAAGTACTTTTAAGCTACAAGTTCAAAGCTGGGTGGAGGGTGCTTTTAATAGCTTTTTCGTATTTTTGTAAACAATTTAAACTTTAGGGATAGTTATTAGGTTGAATATTTTAATTAAACCCAAAGTACCCTCCCCTTATTCCCGCCTCTCCCGGCCCCGTCATCTTCTTCGTTCCACTATTTCAGCCATTGCTCTTCGTTCGAATCCTTCCCTTTCAGTTACCGTTCTTCTATCACTCCCCAATTCCCCACACCATCTTCCTCTGCTGCTTGCCTTTCGGCTTTCTCCATCCCATCTCGCTGCTACTCCACTTTCTTTGGATAAATTAATTAGATGTAAGCAAACAGGTCACACTTACAACTTGATCATTCATCAGCCCAATAACACACTCCATCCCTTCCATTTTACAAACCTCTCGGAGGATCCATCCCCTTCCTCAATTAATTTGATTGGGTAGGTATGCTTCTGCGTCGCCGACTTGAGCACAGGGGATGCACCCCAATTACATTTAATTTATGTAGGGGGCAATTTTGTGCTTTAACAAATTTTCCATAAAAAATTACTTTTTTATCAAACACTTCAACTTCTACCTTTTAATTAAAATCACTTCTATTTACAAACACTATCTACTTCTACTTTAAATCACTTTTCCAATAATCTCTTAAATAAATCACTTTTAAAAAGCACAAGCAAACGCAAAAACTCCCTAATTTAGATCATAACACAAACATTTAAATCAGATCAGAAAATTTCAAAATTGATTTATTACTTTTTATTATTAATATTGTTGTTGTTGACATTAATATCAATATTTTTATTATTATTAATGTTGTTGTTATTGTTATTATTTATTAATATTGGTATATTATTATTGTTATTATTAGCATTAATATAGGTATGTTACTATTATTATATAAATGGTCTTGGAATTAGCCGCATGACGGTTTATGATCAGGCGGACTGATCATTTCTCTCTGTTAGTTATCTACAGTGTTTTCAATCCCAGGTAGCGGGACGGAGCGGCCAGCCTTGAAAACACTATAGCGGTATAGCAGATAGCGGGATGACCGCTATTCAGACTACTTTTAAGTATAATACATAATTAACTAGAAACATATAATTACATTACATACACATTAGTAAAGTATGATATATGTCATTTAAAGTTGCAAACATCTTAACATTCTTAAATCCTAAATTACTGGGAAATATTACTTAGTTTCATGAGCAAAACATACGATGCTATTAATGATCGAAACATCTGAATCAAAACATTGAATAAAAAACAATTTCCTGGTTTTTAATAGTGTATCAGTCTACCACTGGAAAGAAACAAAGAGGAGTGTAGCATGTGTAATTCTTGTACAAGATGAAGGAGCACAGGTCGTTCTTGAAAAAGATGGAGCAGAAAAATTTGTTGAAGCAGAGGTCATTGCAGAGTAGAGAGCAGAGAAGACATACGGATTACTTTTTTTATTAAAACATGGAGCCATTTTTAAGAGTTCTACACTTCTGCGTACGTGTACAAGAGTTTTAAGTTGATTACTATTTAGTTTTAAAAGCCTACTTTATCCTGTCCTTCCGCAGTCAAAAAATAAACACAGAAAACCCCCAGCAGACATTAGATCGCAAGCGGCGCTATAGCATCCGCCTCTACCTGTATAGCGCCCCTGCTATAACGCCCGCGAAGTCCGCTACACCCAAACGCTCCGCTACAGGAGGTCTAGTAGCGCCAGACCACTCCTCCGCTCCGCTCCGCTCCATCGCTATAGCGCGCGATTAACATCACTGGTTATCTATGATACTTATATACGCATAAATGTACTCTCACACAATTTCATTTATTTTTCTCATAAGAACGAAATAAATCAACCAGAAGAGCAACATCTACTCACCTGACCAAGGGAGTGTGAGGCTACCGCTCACACGACTAACTTTTCTTCGCCTAGACTAGGAAGAGCAATATCTGCTCTCATCACGCCACTATAGCTGCTATGAACCTGAGCCCCAGCTTGAGAGAACAGTTCCACAACTGCGGGCAGCTTTCCGTAGTACCTCTTCAAAGCATCAACTAGAGGAAGAGGGGAAGATGGATCTAGAACATGCCACACGTAGACCGGAGGAACAAGGTCATCTATGGTTGCCTCTTGCCAAGCATGTTGCCCGTCCCTCATTTGATGCTTGAAGGCTTGACACTGCCTCACCCTATGACCCTTCGGTCCCACTTGAACTTCAGGACAATATCCGCATGTTTGAACAGCGTACTTCTGCATTAGCTGTATGGCTCCCGTTCGTGTGTCCTCCCACACTTCCATTCCTCTCTCTGCACATCCTGGATAGAAAATTTGAATTATTAGCTTAAAACTGGTTTATGTGTTAAAACTCACTTCAGACTAACCATTGTCTGCAGACTTCAAGGGCCATTTGGTAGGGCACGTATTCGGCTTATATGTCAAATCCTTTACCAAAGGTTAAAAGCTTGTTTGGTTAGACTTAAATGGATGTTACGGAATTTACCGAAACTACTGATGTTATTATTGTTGAAATGACTAATTTGGTTGAACCTGCTGCTTTATTAAAAAAATGAAAATATATAGTTAAATGAACTAAAGAAAATAATTTCTCAAGTAAAGCTAGAAGTACCCATGACTCTGATATCATGGATCGATTCATGTTAGCCGACCCCCAAATTGTTTGGAAATAAGGCTTGGATGTTGTTGTTGTAAAGCTAGAAGTACCTATTTGACAAATTTAGCAATTTCACCCACAAAATAACTTATGCACTAATTTATCTCATTGCTACGACGACTGCTGATAAAAAGAATTTTTCAGCCAAAAACAAAGCCCGTCAAATGTATTCTAACTTATTTTGCACTGAAATCAATGAAAAAGACAATATGACCTCCAATTTATGATGCTATTTTATTTAACTTATTAAAAGATAAAGGTATATGTTGAATAAGTATAAAATATATATCAGCATATTCACTCAATTTAATTAGACCTCAGCAACCTGTCTCTGATAAACACCAGTAGATTGCCGAAGAAATCATATAATGCCTAGGAGCGAGGGAGGAGCAATTTGAGGATATTAAAAAATTGAAAAAAAATAGTATTTGAAGAATACAATACCTGTGATATCATCGGGAGGCAAACCCAAAGTTTTCTCATTTGAAGTTATTAATCTCTTAGTGGTTCCCCAAAAACCAGATGTCTGGATGTGGTTTCGAGAGAGAGCATTATCCTTGGGGAACCTCTTCTCAAAATCTATCATTTTCCCGGCCACTTGGTAAACTGGGAACTTCCGTCTTCTGGTTGGGTAGTCAGGCACGTCTACCCCAGCCTGAATGCACAACTCCATAATCGCAGGAATCCGGTCCACCTCCAGCCTCTCATCATGTGAAACGGCTCTACCCAACCGATCATACATATGGAAAGATTCTACAAGAGGCAATAAGTGTTTGACATCCCCTCTCTCCCAAATATGCTCCTTGCTCTTTTCACTGCCGCTAACAGAACATGTTTTAATCTTATGTGGTGTATGACCAACATGAACTTCCCCACACAACCTACAGACAATAAAGTTCCAGGAATCATCAAATATATGCTTCAGAAGGATCAATAGTGACACCATTCTGTTAATCCATATATTCCTAAAGAAGTATCGTTTCGGAGAAGAATAACAAAACGTTCTAAACCATCATTTAGAAAAATCTGAAGCAGCATTAAGCATGTTTTTTTTTTCAAATTTACCCTGCTGATTAAAAAGAGATAAATAAGTACACATTTAATTTCAATATATACTTCGTACATTGTAGCAATATTAAAATATATTTTCTAAAATATATCTTTCAAGCCCGTCCCAAGCCAAGATAAAGGAGGAGCGTGTTGTGGTAGGTGCATGACGGGCCTGACGGCCAACAGCATATCTTAGTCGCATCGCATGACATGAATTGAAATATGAATATTTACTCCAATTTCATATGTTGATCACTTGATTGATATTAGCCGACCCCAAACTCTTTTGGAACTAAGGTTTGGATGTTGTTGACCCTTCAAACTATTTTTCGGACATAGGACGACTAATGTTTTTCCCTTGGAACTTACACTTTAAAGTAGGAACGCCCTTCCCTATCAGTGCTCATGTAAGTCTGGTTCAAAGGATATAAAAAAATAATCTGGTGCACATAGACCACCCCGTAAGGCGAAGGTCCAATAAAGGATTCTACCATATGGGTGTATAAGAACAAGTCTTCCCTTTCCAATTTGGCAATAGGCCATTCTCACCACTTGAACTTGTAACCTCTCTGTCACACAACAACACCTTAACCGGTGTGCCAAAGGCTCCCCATCAAGGAAGGGACATTTGGTTTTGGCAATGTCATGTTACCTTGGTAATGTGTTATTTACCTTGGTGATGTGAAAAATCCAAAAAGGTAATATGAGCTCACATTGGTGATAGAATACAAAAACGTGTTGGGACACTCCATTTAAGCCAAAGCACACTAAAAGTCTAAGAGATCGAATCCCAACAATTAGCAACTCTAGCTCTAGGCTATATAACACTTATGTCTCACTCCTATGTCTAACTCCTATAATATTTTTATGTCAAACTCTTCCCTAGATAATAAAAATATCTTAGAGTATAAAGACATTAGTAATAACTCATTTACTGGTCACATTTCGTAAGCCAAACAGCATAAGGACAGGAATCCCAAGCATGAAAAACTTTCTCATCTTTTAAACTAGGGGTGGGCACGGTCCGGTCCGGTCCAATATTTGGCCGAACCCGTACCCGTACCGTTACTATTGAAACGGTTCGGTACGGTTCGGTCTTAGACCCAAACCCGTTCGGTACGGTCCATTTTCAAACGGGACGGTACCATGTCATACCAATATCAAACAATGCCACTTTTTCCAGGTGTTTAAGAAAAAATTAAAGTTTAGCTATCCTCCAAAAATCCACACAATTTATCAATTTTCATATATCATACTACCTTCGTTCCAAATTGATTTGTAAAGTCAATCTTTTTTTGGTCAAACAATTTCTTTTTATTCACTTAATTAGAATTTCACTTTTTAATTATATTCTAATTTGGCCTATCAAAAAAACTACTCCGTACTTCGTATATTTTAATTTGGATTTTGCAACTTTAGAGAGATTTTAATGTGGTTTCTAAATATGTAAATTTTAATTATTAAAAATTGTATCAATTATCAAGAACTTAACATTAACTTTGACAAAAAATGTTGGCTTTGCAAATCATTTGGGACGGATGAGGTAATTAATATATTTTAGATAAACTATAGTAGTACAAATTTAATAAATCATACTTCGGTCCGGTTCGGTCCGGTACCGGTTCTCATTTTATGAGAACCGGTCATGGCATTGTTTGGAACCGGTTCGGTCCGGTTCGGGACAAAAAAATTTGAGATCCGTTTCAAACCCCGTTTATCGGTCCGGTACCATACCGGTCCGGTTCGGTATCATGCCGGTTCGGTATTTTTGCCCACCCCTATTTTAAACAAAAAGTTATTGGCCTGCACATGCTACCTCTACTAACAGAATAAGAATTATTCACAGTAGAATACAATACGATTTAGCAACTTCAGATAGAAAAATACACAAAGAACCGGTGTTACCTGCATGAATAGATAGGAATGTGATCTGCAACTCTAGAAACACAAGCTAGTAACTCAGCTTGGGAAGCTAAAACATGATGCGCTACTGGTATTAACCCCTTCACTAACAGCCCATCCTCGGGAGGCTTCAGAGTAACTTCTCGAACCTCTTGTCGCTTTTGCTTCTCCAGCCTCTCTCTGCGCTTGAGCTCATTAATGCTCGTCACCAATGGCTTCCTCTCTGTTCTCCTTAGTTTTCTAGGGACCTCTGTAATGGTCGAATATGATGCATCAATTAGTTGTAGCGCCATACTCTTGGTGATGAAATTTGTGTCATAGTCTCCCCTTATTAATCCTCTGATGTTGAATACCGTCCAGATTTTCATATGGAAGGTTGTAATAGATTGTAAGCTTGGAAGTTTCATTAAAGCATTTTAACGAACAGTTTGGGTTCGTCTGCTGAAAGGCCCAACGTCTCTGGATTCTCGTCTCGAGATGGAACGAGCATACAAAGGTCAATTCGAACGGTAGGTCAGGATCAGATGCTTGCAAAGCTGTTTTCTTTTTTTGGGTTTGCTACTACAAAAATTAAATGAAAAAGGTTTTTTCAGTCTTTATTCATGGGTTTCTATCTTTTTCTTTGCCTTTTGAATCCTTATAGATAAATCAAGAATTCAATTGAAACTTATTTTTCCCTTAATTCCATGCATGAAACCAACAGAGATCTGATTGCTTCATGCAGGGCAGGTCCTGAAAAAATGGGTAACTGTCTACTTGGGCCTTCCTTACAAGCTTTAATAGAAATAAAACATAAATAGGATGATAATGATAATAAATTACTGATAAATTATGTTAAAATTCATGTTACTAATGAGCATAATAGTTACAAATAACAGTATTCATTATTCATTAATAAATTACATTTCACTTAATTAAAAAGAGACATTCTTCGAGCGTATATAGATGCAAAGTCATCTATAAAACTTTCAATGTCAAGTCTTCTTTTCTTTTTAAGCTTTTCGTACCAGGATGGGTGTTTCTTTAAAAACATAATTACTACCAACTATTGAAATGCTCCAATAATTTTGAATACATTTGCAAATATTAAATTGAAAGTTAATTTAAATTTTGAATTAATGCCTATAAATTATAAACACAAAAAAAAAAGAACTTATAAACTACTCCGTATTGAAGTATTATAGTGTAAAAAATTTCAAAATTAAAAACCTAATAACATACTGATACCAGTTTGTTAAGTATAATTAGTTTAACAACTTATTTACATAATTAATTAAATAACATCCAAATTTATTAAATTCAACAGTTCAATAACTTGAAACTTAATGTTTTTTGCATAATTCAAGGCACGAAATAAAAAATTAGGCGAAAAATTTGGTAAGCACCAAAACACAATCACCAAACGGCTCTAATAATGGATGATTTACAAGAAGTCAGAACACCTTACCTGGTTCAGCACTTCAGCAAGTGTTGCGAGGAATGCGAGCGACGAGCTATTCAGCGGAGTGAGCGGACTGGAGCGCGTGGCGGGGTGCAGGATTGCTGAGCCAGAGCGAGAGTTCTGTCGACTCGAGTCGTTTTGGATTTCAGTGTTGTGTTCAGCTACACATTTCCCTTAAATGACCTCCTTGCCCCGAACTTGTCCCCCTTTTCTGTGGAAAATCCTAATCTCACACGGAGTAGTGAGTAATTTTATATCGCATCTCCTCCCCCGTCCCGATATATTTTGGGACCGTAACGTTAAATGTTTTCAAATAACACGGTATACCGGTATAATACCGTACCGATTCCCTACCCAACAATTACTATAAATTCTAAAATATTGTAAAATTCCATTACAAGTTTGAAACCCAAAATTAATACTCCGTACTTAATGTTGGTTACAAATACTAAAATACAAAAATAAAGGTCCAATTTCTCAAACTCACTATAACCTTATAGGCTTCTACTACGTGACGTTCAAATAAACGGACCCAGTGGCGGAACTAGAAAATAATTTAAGCGGGGGCACGGTCTTATTAATAATTTATTTGAATATATTTTATTCAGCCTATCAATTATATAGAAGTAAATTAGATATGAAATGCATAACCTATACTATTAACGTAATGAGAAGATTCTTTCAAAGTTAAAGATCCAATTTGATATAGAAACATATATACATTCTAATAGCCTATTTTGCTAACTTTTGAAGAGCTAAATTCGCAAATCAGATAATGTATCTTCAGACATTGTTGATCAGATATAATTTTTTTAATAACTTCAATTTTGAAAAAGTAATTGTTATGATCAGTTTATTTATTTTTTACACACCTAAACGAGTTATTGTGTTGTTTGAGTAAATGAATAAATTATAGATAAACAATTTATACTCATATGGTTATATATGCAGTTTTTAATTCAATATTTAATTTATTTTAATACCATAATATTATACGGAGCAAAATAACCTACGCACTATGTCCTTGCCGACTAACAATTGAAATCAACTAAAAAACTTAAAAATTACACAACTAAAAGGTGTAAATAAAGTAAAAAAGAGTTAGAGACCTTTAGCCTGGGCTCTGGAGGTCGTCGAATGCTCTGTGTCTCAGTATCTCTGGTTGTAAATAATTTGCCGTCTTGAACTGATGCGAAGGATTAAACTGCTTCGCTGCTTGTGCGGCCAGGGCGGATCTGCTTAATGCCTTCGTTTGGGCTGTTACTTGTTGGGCCTGCCTTGGCCCAACCGGCCTTATTTTTTCTCCTGGAATCCGAAACGCCGTCGTTTGTTTAAAAAAAGAAAAACTCACCTTGGTCGATCGTCCCTGTTCAACAGATATCCTTCAGAAGCAAAACTGCAGTACAACCTTGCCGGAAACAATGGAACGGACTAGTCCGACGGCTCCCCAACCCCTACTACAGCCCTACCTATACCCTAGCTCTCAGGGCCGAAGCAGGGGCACCGGCCCCCCTGGCCCCCCGGCAGATCCGCCCCTGATTACGGATCCTAATGACTAATGAGTAATGTACTAATGTCCAGACCAGTCCATCTTTTTCCATAACCTTGCTAGTGGTGATGGTTGAGCCACTGAGTAGTTGACGAATGAAGAGAGATACACTTTTTGTAACGAGTGCATCTACATAGGGATTCCGCGAGTCAAGCCACACAACTTTGTTCGAAAGTCTTATTCAAATGTTTTTTTAACAATTATAAAAAGGACTAAATACACAGTATCATATTATGGATAAATAATTTTATATCCATGTTGTTTGAATAATTTTATTTATTTTTGTTAGAGATCACTATTTATTTAATTATATCTATATTGTTCAAGTTACTTTAGGATAATGTGTTATTTTTTAATACATGGAATGTTGAACCAATAATAATTATTGTTCAATTTTGAATATGACACCAATAGATTATTAATTGTATTTTGTAACATTTCAATAATGGTTTAAATATGTCATTAGTAACACCGATTTATTATATTTTGTTAGTCTATGATAATTTGTTGTATTGGGAGACATGCATGGTGATTTACCGATGTTGTATCGTTACCGAACCGAAACTTTGGTATACCGAAATGCGGTATACCGAAACTTCGCTATGGTAACGGTATATAAATTTTGTATACCGATAGTTTTTGTGCGGCAAAGGTATGGAAGAAAATATTCGGTATTACCGTACCGAACCACCACTAGTTGTGGCTAGGGGTGTAAATGAACCAAGCCGCTAGCGAGCTGCTCGTGGATTGCTCGGGAAAAACTCGACTCGAGTTCGGCTCGACTCGAATAGTTAACAAGCTCAATTCAAGCCTATTTATTTTAGGCTCATGGCTCGCGAGCCGGTTCGTATGTCTTTGTGTCATATTTTATATACTAGATTTTCACCCGTCCTTCGCACGGGATGCAATCAATGCAATTGGTAAACAATAAATTATTTGGTAATATATAGAAATGTTCAAATACAGATAGATCAACATATATATTACTTGTAATAAAATTAAATGAAGATAAAATTACAAATTATTGTATACTTCCTAGTAAACAACATTTAAAGTGTTCTTGGCATATTTTCCTGACATATAATAAAATGTCAATCCAGACAGGGACGTTACTCTTGAGATCGCAGCGTAAAATTGTCCATGGGTGAAAACCTAAGAAAACACAACTCTTTCTAAAGATTGTCCTTCACTGTTATTAATGATCATCGCATAACTAAGCATCCAAGGGAACTACTCACTCTGAAATGCGAACAACTTTAGTTTAAACTAAGCTTTGGAATAAGATATTTTTATCTTGCATTTGTTTGAGACATCGTTTGAGCCCCATAATATGGGTTCCGAGTTTAGTGACATAAGGCGAGTGCAATTACACAATACATAGGAGTAATCGATATTATATTCCTCATTAGCATCAGAGGTGCTCCCTCTTTCAGTTTCAACTAATGATTTGGCACACTTCACGCTAGAGCATTTATGCTATTGTGAAATTATGGAGAACGGGTCTCTTGAAAGAATGCACTGTCTAGGTCAAAAGAAGATGTCGAATATAAGCTGAAATATGTCTTTACCCAATGTGTAAAAATATACTCCGTACTTTTTAAATGTAATTATACAAAAGTTAAAGTATAATTCTCAAGTTAAAACTACAATTAAATGAAAGTTATATTTTAAAACTACAATTAAAACTAAAGTAATTTTCTGTTATATGAATGTGTGATGCATTATAATTTTCGATTGTTAAAAAGACATTATTTAATGGAAGCAATTATAATGCTATTGAAAATCGAGTTTTAGTATCCCAATTAAATAATATCATACACTCTTATCCATTATATAGATAAATTAATGTGCAGTAACCTTAAGTTTGCTCCCATCCATTTAGTGGATAAAATGATAATGAATTGTTTATCACAAATAGAGGGATGTATCTAACTTTGAGCCAAACTATTTACATGGATTTAGTTGACGTCCCGGTTTTAATAGTTAGATCTCAAGCGTTATACCACATAGCTCTTATAAACATAGTTTTAAATTTAAAAGTAAAGTGAATATTCAGATATAACAATAATAGATAACATCATACTATGAAAACAAATTATTATTAATTAATATGAATAGCAAGAATAATGTTGAACTAATAATTTCATGAAAACATCTTACTTTAAAAACAAAAAATTGAAAAGACAAATAACAAATCAGATTATCTCAATCCAAAACTCAAAACTGAAACAAAAATTTAAAGGTGGATAATGATTTATGGCTTCTCTATCATGAAGGTTTTAGCTTCTTAATAATTGAACCTGGAGTGGATGCACAAACTTCAATTTCACAATCAATCTCATCGTTGAAAGGTCACTTAGATAATGATTATGGAGAGTGGAGTACTATCAACGTCCTCAATGTCGTGGGAGATAGGTGTCTACACTAACGTAAAAATAAATAAATAAATATCATTCATGTTTAAAAACTCATGTGTTCCTCCATCTGTCCCGTTGAGTGGTTCCCACACGGTTTGTGATGTTTGATTGACCATAAAAATGTACACTGATCACTCTCCGTAATTAGATATTTTTAGCATAAAAAAATTACATATTCAAAACTACATTAAAAGTTTTATGTTCTCACAAAAAAACATAAGTTTGATAAAACTTTGATATATAAAGCAAAAGATTAAGAAGACTTTACGTTGACCGGAGAGTGGTGAAAGGAACCTTTGTATGAAACGGAGGTAGTATTATTTAAATAATTATAAAATTATAACTCATGAAAGTAATACCAAATCAAAAACTGAATTATACCCATTCCTGCAAGGAATCAATAATTAAAATGTTAAGAAATTCAGTCCATTTATTTAGCATGTATAACATAGCAATAACATAAATATATATAGCTCAATGAGTTGGATAGACGATTATATTAGAATCTGATGATCATCAAATGATGATATGATCTCGTTGATCTGTTGTTAGACAAAGCGCCTACATAGTAGGATTTCCCATGAACAGTTGGCAACCCTTCATAGTCAATCTTAAACAGGAAACTCTTACCAACCAGCTTTTCAATCTCTTCTAGACAACTCTTAGGACCAAAGGTGTCCTACACAAAATATTTTAAAACATATGTTTAGCAGCGTGTTTAAAATGATTTAAGTGTGGATTTAAAAGTGTGGATGTAACATAATATAAACTAACCGCATCCGGATAGGAAGAAAAATCACTTGCATCCTTTCCCAACAGTCTCTTACATTTGCGATATCAAAATACCACTTCAGCACTACATAACTTATGTTCAACTCTTAATTTGGAGATAAAGCCATATTCCCGCCTTCTGAAGAACGCAACCCACACTTTCATACCAATTCATTTCCGCCTTTGTGTGTCACCTTTTTATAGTGATTTCTAAAACCAACTAAGAGAAAAAGGTGAAATCAGTGTAAAAAAAATGTATAGATATGAATTTGTGCTGTTGTACTTGCCAAATTTATAAGAGTGTATAAATATGAATCAGTGTAAAATAGTAACCGTAGTCGTTTGGTTTTTATATTCCAAGTCAAATGTAAAAGGACTTTTGTTTAGGTTTAAAATCAAATACAAAGTGCACAATTTATTGCATTTACCACAAGATCGTTAAGTTATAATCAGTATTATATATACATCAACTTTTTAAACCAATCCATGTATAGAGTGCTTTCAGCAATGTACTGCTATCATGTAAATTGAGTGACCAACTGAAAGCTAATCAACAGACTTATGAAATAAAAATAAGGAACATACCAACTTATACCCAATTGGTGCAGAAATAATTTTGGCGAGAAAACATATACAGAGGGGGTCATATTATCATGTGTGCTACTATGATAGCTATAAAATACCCATCTGATTTAATAAATAAAAAAAACCGTATGCGCGAAAAAGTTAAACCAAAAGATGATTTGTTAAAAAGAGTGTTGATGTGTTCATTATAAGAACATTTCTGAATTACTAAATATAGAGGGTGAATGAGTTGATCTGAAGGGAGGATTTTTAAAGCTAAATATGCCTTGAGTTAATAAAACTCCATGCTAATACATATGTTTTGTCTCTAAGTATGACTTCACCTTATAAACCCAAGCTAGGAAACAGGGGGTTTTAAACTTACAGTTTGTTTAAATGAAAATTTATGATTGTCTTTTGTCATGGGGTTAATGCTCTAATACTTGGTGCAACCAATACCAAATTGATATCAATTATAAGTAGTGAAAAGTGTAGTTTTTAGTATAGCACATATTCCAGTTTTTTAACTCTAAATATGCCTTGAGTTAATAAACTCCATGCTAATAAATATGTTTTTTCTCTAAATATGATTTCACCTTTCAAAACTTCATGCAAAAAAACCGGGGGTTTTAAACATTATTTGATCATATCAAATAATTTATTTTCCTTTTGCTTCTGCCTGAACTGTCACTGCTTTCTTTGAAGGATATAATTTGAGTATTATAATAGCAAGAAGTGAAATTTTTTAGTTACTACTTCAATGAGAATAAAGGAATATAACCAATATTTTAGTTCAAGAAGTAAAATTACAGAGCTGTACAATGTAGTTTAGTGCATTTACAGGTTCTTTAAGTCAAAAGTGAAGTTTTTTCTCTTAGAAAAATGCAGTTT